GCATTTCCCGATATAGTGGACGCGATTTGGATAATTTGCATATTAATACGTAATTAGCAGGTCAAAATGGGGGGGAAAAATTATTTTGGCCGAATATTTTTCTTCTGGGGGAATTTCATCCATTTATATTCGAGGATTTATAATATATGTGTTTGAAATGTCGCTACTTTTTTCACTCACGGCGGCCGTATTGACACCTAATTAGCATAATTTAAGCTAATTAAGCATGAAATCGAAATACAACCTTCAACCTGATATACAGAGTCGATTTACACCACTGGAACTCGTCTTCGCCACGAGGGATGTTCTTAAATGCAATTATTTTCACTTATATGCATGGCGTAGGCGGTGTAAAAGACCAAACGTCGTGGCTGGAAATTTTCCTGCATCGTGGAGGGCCGGATCGTCCCGGTTGGCCTGTTCAAACAAGGATCTAGAGTTTTATTAGGGAAATACGGAAGCGGGACTGCCACTCCTTGTCTTTGATGTACTTGAAACTAATATCAATCTTTTGACAGGTGACTTTTTACAACAGTAGCGTGCGATGTGGAATGTGTGAATATGATGCAGTTGTCCGGCAAATTCACTTTTGAAGTCAGTACCCGTTTAAGGCTTAAAGATGATTCAGTTGCGGATTAGACATTTTGAGTTCCCTTGATGTTGCCTCCTGGCACCTGATAGCTTACGGTATGGCTAAATTTTTTCTTGTGTGACTGCACTCAATTCGCGAGCCGAGTCAAGCCGGAAAACCCTCACGTTATCATAGACGACGTTTTAACACCGGTCTAATTATTGTAGCTTGAGCCATCCGAGGAGCTTTTCTTCTTGCACTACTTTCAGATTGGATTTTGATTCAGAAATACATTATAGCACAGATTTTGCGGAAGAGAGGAACGAACTTCGATTGGGCATGGCTAACTAGTTCAGTGAACAACAAGCATCGCACTCGATGTATAATACTCGATCTCGAATTATGTAGCATATCGTATATGGGTGTAAGAGGGAAAAATCAGAAGCGGGAGGGGTGAAAATGGCGGCACACCCAGGCGAGGAAGAATTCAACAACTTTGAAGAGAATGGCCCCAGGGAAAATTTGTTGGGAAAATCGTCGGGTGATGACGATTCCCGCACCCAAGCCTCGGGGTTTACGTATCAAAACGGTTGCTACTGTGTCGGACAGAGCCCTTGTGTTGGGACAAAAACAAACTCGAGACATGCACTGCTCATAATTAATGCCCCGACAGCCTGAGTTGAATGTGCAGAGAAAGGGGAGAGGAAAAGGGAGACTCACGACGATGACACAAAGACGAGACGAAGGAATGCCCAGACGGACGAAAACCGACTTGGATCACGGGTCGAAATCAAACACACAGCTCACACGCCGGCATTCGGCACGGCAGAAAGAGTCGTCGCGACTCCCAGCAACAAACACGCTCTCGAGGCAGAAAGGCCTCTCGACTGCCCGCTCGAGAGTCAGGCGGGACCCACGCTGCCGGGGGGCGAACGGTGCTTCCTCCACTCCACGCGCACAGTCCATGCCGGATGCAGTTCTGAGTCATGTCAAGAGCGATTTGTCCCGGTTTCATCGCTTCTTTTGGCAAGCCGACTTCAAGCGCTCTTTCGAACTTAATCTTGCATTTGAAGCAGATGTTACCGATGACTTCGGTTCGATCAATTAAGGTTACGTTTTATCTAGCTTTAACCGAGCAGGTCTCCGTCCATCTATGGACGTGCATTGGACGTTCACCAAAGTTCCTTTGGTGAACGTCCATTATATGGAGAGAGACGTCATCCAACGCCTGGAGGCCTCAACATTTTTAGGTGACCAGCATCCAGGAAGCTCTACAGTAAGTTCTATTCGTTTTTTTTTAGTTTCCATTTGTCAATTCGTGCATTCTCACCTATTATATTTTTTCTTATACAGATCAAGTGATGGAGAGAGACGTCTTCCCCCGCGAAGGGGGAAGACTTCTCTCTCTCGAATTGACTTCGTCCCACGCCTGGAGGCCTCATCATTCCTTAGGTCATCAGCATCCAAGAACCTCTATAGTAACTTCTCCTTTTTTTTCCCCCTGTTTTCAATTCATGTTTTCCCACCTATGATGTTTTGCATTTCCTTTTCGTTGATCAAGTGATGGAGAGGCATTATCTTAAACCTGTTGGCCTCGCCGTTGAAGACATTATCAGCATTCATGAGCATATTTAGTACGTTTTCCTCCGTATCTTTACTTTAATTTATATAAATTTTTCGATTGATCTTCCTGTTTTGTCTTCTTTGATTTTTTCAATTTTTTTTTTTTGGTAGATCAAATGATGGTGAGATTGTCATGCTGTGCTTGGAGGCCTCATCTTATCATCTTTGATGTCGTTGACCTCTCCTCTACCTACTTTTCTGAGACGACCCATCTTCTATCACAGAGTTTCTATGTCCCTGTCTTCCGATGGAGTGGTCACCTCATCACTGGTCAGATTGTTGATTGATTTCATTATTTTATACGAATTCAAGGATGAATGATTCAGGTGAACGAAGTTCAAAAAAGTGCGTTAGTTTCTCTCCTTTGTTTCTCTTCTACATGGAGACGTGACATGTGACATTACCTGACATGGTGCCACCGAAACAGGAAACGCTCTGATGAAACGATGCCTTTCGTGTTCGTGTTTCGCCGGTCTTTCTGTCGTCCCAGTGTTTTTTCCTCATGTGGAGAAAAATATCCGGCGATGAAATAGAGCCCGTGATGATGTCTCGAGAAGAATCTTCCAGTCAGTGAGTTAATTTCCAAACAAAATGTTTCCCACAAGTCAAAGTATGATGACAGCCGTGCATTACGTTCCAAACTTGGAGGAGGACATGCACTTTTCATCTTTGTTCCCACCAATAATAAGCCTGTCACACTGGTTTCTCTCATTCACGGCCAAGGGTTTCCTCCAGAGTCTTCTAGATGTACGGAACGGAATCGGAAATTTCCTCTAGGGTATATTTCTTTTCCTCAAAGTCAAAATGGAGAAAATCGACAAGGTGACAATTACGGCCAGGACCATCTGGGATAACCAGGTTAAAACGAATATCTCGAGTTCGGGAAGGGGCAGGGATACGAGGGACCAGAGATTTTCCCGTTACGCCGGTCGCCTTCCGTTTCCGGAGTTAGAGCGCGACTGGCTGGAAAAATGTTGCTCTGAGGGACCTGGATTCTGAGAAGCTGTCCCCTGGCATTCACTATTTCTTAGTTGACGTTTTAATATCGGTCTAAACTTGAGTCATCCGAGCAGGCTTTTCCGCTTGGACTGATTTAAGATTGGATTTCGATTCATACAGACGTTTTAGCGCAGATTTTGCGGAGGAGAAGGAACGAACGCCATCGACTGTGTGGCAAAATTGTTTAATCAACAAGATGCATCGCACTCGATAAATAATACTGCCAGTCTCGTTTTATGTAGCGGATCGTGTGGGTGTCACATGGCAGAAAGGAGCAGACTGACGGTTTCTGCGTCACAGTGAATACGATGGCGATTACTTTTTTTTATTATTAACCCTTTCAGACCTGAATTAAGGCCGCTATGGGAATAATATCCTTTTTAGCATTTTTGAGCTCTCTCGTGATTGTAATTGAAATTTTCGTGCTTTATATGTCGTTTTCATCTATTTTTTATCATTATAAATTTACCATATCATACCATATCTTATGTATTATACGTTTAATTAAATAACTGAATATGACAAAACTAATGGGTGAAAGAAGGCCTCTGATGGAACTGAGCCATGCATAATTGCGCCCGTTGCAGCGTAATATGTAGCGCAAAGTCACGAGAATTCAAAGAAATCGCCATAAGACACAATGTAAATGCAATGTCCATTGGAATGGACGCCAGGTCTGAAAGGGTTAAAATAGAGAGACGCGTTCATCGAATCCATCCGTTTTTGCAAAAAAGCACCACGAGTGACGTAAACAAGCGTGTTCGGAAGACGAACGCTTGCAGGATACGTCAGTCTGGACAACCGATGATCTGAAGAGCCTGAAGAGAAAATAAATCAATCGTGTTCGGCACAGCAATAGCGGTATCATACGAAAGCAACGTACCTCATTATAACGCCGCTTGCTGGTCACTGCTGATTTTCACGCTATAACGAGGGTGGCGATATGTATATTTAGCCATATTCCAAATTATAAGCTTGTGGGGAGATTCGTTCGCATGAAGAATTGGTAATTAGCGCAATACCGTTAGTAGCTATTGCGCCCTGCAATACCGAATAGCGGTATAATGATGGTAATACCTTTCCATCAAGACCTGACACGACGAAAGAAAAATTCAGCGGAAAGTTCAGATCCTTGGCGACAGAGTCGAGAGGAGTTTAATTATTTATATTCGGTACATCCTAATAATTTCCATCGTGGAGACTTGAAAAAAAAAAAGGAGCCATAAGCTCATGGATCAGGTCCCCCGGCGCCATCGCCAGACGATTCGGACTGATGGAGACTGCGATAGGAATCCCCCGAGGGAACGAGACGGGGGGTGGGGACGTCCCGATCCCTGCTCAGGGGATGGAAGGAGACGATCGTCTTGCAGCTCTCGCAGCGTTTGCCTCGGAGGGCGTAGCAGCAGAGGAGGCCCAGGGGGAACAGACACACTCCGGTCAGGATCGCCAGCGGTGGGTAATACGTCTTCAGGTGCCCTTCCTTTCCGGCACGGGAACGTCCATACGAATTTCTCTCACAAACGTCTCCCAGAGCGGACATTCGGAAAATTACGGAAGACTGAGGCCGAACGGGTCACTTACGCGGCAAACCGGGCAGAGATTCCCACGGGCGTTGGGTTCATGCATGGATAGATGTCGCGACACTGAAGAGTACCGAGGTGGAGCCCCTCATGAACGAATCTCAAGATATAGTTGATTTACTTGCCAGTGACCTAAACATGGAAAACGAGAGGCGATTCCTTTGTTGCACCTTGAACCGACAAATCATTCAACACTCGCCACCCCAACGTCAAAGAAACCCATAAATCACCGTTCAAGAATAGACTATTTATTCGAATAAGTGGCTCAAAACGAAGTACCTAACATGAATCCAACTGAAAACCTTGTGCCTGATTATTAAATAAATAGTAAATTCACAAAATATCTGATATGAACACGTCTGACGATTTCAAGTGACAGACCGCAGCGGGCACCAGCAAAGATCACCTTCTGAATAACCAGGATAAGGCACCGGCAAAAGTTTGAAGAGGGGCTGCGATGCCAGCTGCTTGAACAGACAGAGAAGCTGCTTCAGGATGGTAGCCTGCTTCCTGCAGTACTGTTGCAGCTTTGGATATCGCAACAGGATCCCCTTGGGAAAGCAGATGCTCCAAGACCAGCGGGAAGATTCCCGTCTGGCAAGACTCGACCAGATATGTTTTATTCTGTGAGATCATGCTGAGGAGTTCTCCATCCACTTTCCTCTTCAAGTCCTTTGAATAATAATTAAAAAACGAGTTTAGGGGAGGCCAAGAAGCAAAAATCTTGTAAAATAGAAGGCATACATCTGCATCATTGATGCTGTCTAAAGCAGCAGAATTGAGTGCCTCATCTGGGGTGGACAAACCCAATTTCCAGGCAAATAGGTCCAGTTCTTTCTCCAGCAATCGTTCATACATCTCTGCATAGATCTGAAATTTTACTATGTTCCGTTAAAGTGTGAAGTCCTGTGCTTCTGAATCATAATTGACATTCTTGACTCACATCTTGTGCGAATTCTTGTCTGTGTTTCAAGAGCCACAGACACAAGTCCAAAACCATCTGTCCGCTCTCTGAGCCTTGGAAAGTCAGAGCCTTCCGCATGAGCTCTGTCCAGAACCTGAAAGTATCAGACATCGGTCAAAGGCAGGTGAAGTGCAGAGAGTACCTATGTTCATGTTTCCGGATTGACTTTAACCTCCCTACCACCTTTCCGTGGCGCTGTTGCCTGCAGTGAAGTGAGAGACATCTTGTCTTTATCATCATAACTAATGATGTGTTATAAGCTTCACAAGCAACACAACGGTAGAGGTGTAAGTGGGTCAGGTCGTAAGATCCAGTTTTGAGTATGACACTGCCTGCGTAAACAGAAAGTGAGTATTGTACAATAAGAAAATTAAAAACGCTTTCTGGAATTCACATCGACTCGGGCCGAAACTGTACCATTTGGCGGCAGGGGTCATGGAAAATGGAAAAGACAAGTAAATATAGGGATTTGGACACAGTGAGTGTCCCCCCCCCCCCTCCCTGATTCAGTAGATGGGCTACGGACTTCATCATGGGATTGTGAGATTTTCATTGATAAATATATTTTATGAGTGAAAGAAAAACATGGAAAAGAAAACCTCCAATGATACCAAGGAAACGATACCGAGCATATTCGCCTCGGAAAGCTCTTCTGTAATGAGTGCTAATGTACGTGCTAAAGATATTGAAATCTTTTAACGCACGTCAGGAGGACCTCCTGCATGTCTGGTCCTCTTATATCCGGCCAGTTCTTGAGTACGCCTGCGCTTCCTGGAATAGCTCCCTGCTCAGCCGAGCCGTATTTACCATCGAACAGGTGCAGAAGCGTGCCCTGCGCTTAATCCTTGGGCATAAATATGAAACTTACGAAAAGGCCTTGTCGATTCTGGGCATCCCATCCTTGCAGAAAAGACGACTGGATCTTACATCTAAACACGCCCATGCCCTTCTAAAAAAATCCATCGTGATGGCATCCTACCGACAATGCCCACCCATGAACCTAAGAAACATCTCATCTCTCTTGCGAAAGCATAAGTGCCGCACGCGCAGATTCTACCAGTCAGCAATTCCCTTCATGACCTGCTTGATAAACCAGAAAACTACCAGAAAAGACTGCCACACTGGCTCAGTACAACCCCCTTAATTGTCTACCCTAATAATATGTCTACCCTTTGACGATGGAATGCAATTTGCTGATGCACACTTATTCCAGAACCATGAATAAATCACTATTTTATATTTATTTATATATATTTATTTATTTATACCTATTTATTTATTTATACCTATTTATTTATTTATATCTATTTATTTATTTATACCTATTTATTTATTTATATCTATTTATTTATACCTATTTATTTATTTATTTCTATTTATATATATTGAAATCTTCAATTAAAAGTGATTTAATTACTTTATATTGAGCGGAAATATATAATTTTGCCATATACTTTGCACATAATACTTCTTCGACTCCGACACTGGTCACTGACCACTGTCTTACGGCGAGATAAAGGACTCGATTACGCTTCTATTGCTTGAAGTGACATCTATTGCTGGTGTTAGAAGTACTACTTTGCTGAGCGCCAACAGGGTCCATTGAAAAGTATGGAGCCCATGTTAACGGGGGTTAAAGTCATTCCGGAAACACTGTAGTGTTCCTGGATGTTTCACTTGTAGTGTTCATGGATACAATTTCTTCACATGCAGAGAATCTAGACAAAGTATATATTTAGATCAACTATCCAGAGTGGAAAATTGTCATTTCAAAGTCCCAGTGGGTTACCTGGCTTCAGAAATGGGTTCAGGATGTTGATCCCAACTAAGAAGAAGATCTCGGAGGTTCTCCAGTTGCTCTAGGGATGAGCCGGTGGAGAGAAGCTGATTAAACACTTCCTCTCGTCCTTCCCAACTGTCAGTTGAGAACTTTCCTTCAACACCGACCCAATTGGAAACCAGAGTTTTGGTCCTCAACTCAACTAGTCTCTCTTGCTCCTCTCCACTTAGGTTCAGCTTCTGTCAGATGAAAAGACTATGGGACAATTCCTCCCAGAAGGCCTAATTTTTGTTTTTGCATCTGCCTCTTACCTGTAAGCACATGGCTATGAACTTGAGTCGTGCCTTCTGTGCAACACATCCTATGCCAGTTGCACTTTCATCGAGGGCAGCACAAAGCTGGTCCAATATGTCATCAACAGATGGGAACATCTCTCCCTCTCCCCACCACCAGGACAACTCCTCCAAGAAGTGCTGTAATCTTCTCCAATCCTCTGAACTGTCCCTGAATGGTAGAAACCTCCACAACTCAGAAAAACACCAGGCTAAAAAAAGTCATTTTGCAAAACTTTGTCATATTAACTCACTTGAAATTTGCAAGGATCCACTGAAAGGCTTCACCAAGAACATCATCAGCAGTGATGCCTCTCTGACTTGGAAGTAAGGCTAGAAACTCCTGTAGTACAGTAACAGGGTTTCCAGAGAGGAGGAGCTCATCAAGCAGGGACTTTAAGGCATCATCATCCCAGCCCTTCTGTTCATACTCCCTGAAATATGGGGTTTGACACACACATCTGAACACTGTTCCACAGTCTAGTCTTTCACATTGATGAATACAACGGAGACAAATCTCAATACTTCTCACTCACTGAACAAATGTGATGAGGTTGGTAGGGATGTCTGAGAGTGGAGAGATTTCCAAAGCTTCCAGATGATGAAACCATACCTCACACTTTGACACTGCATATTTCCAGTTATCACTTTTGGTGGGAGACATTTTGGCAGTGTTAAAACATTGAAAAGGATAAACCAATGGCAAGAAAAGTGGGACTCACATTTTGGCAGTCCGCTGCTTAGCGTGCTTCAAGGCACGTCTGGAGATTTCTAGTCGAGCAGAGCGAGGGACTGAGAGTGCCTCTTCTGAAAACAGAATGGCTTCCAAAAACTGCAGATAAGACTCTGAATCAAGCTTCTCTTCCATGGGTTTACAAGACTCAAAGAGATGCACCCAGTCGGCAGTTGACTGCAGCTTCTTCTCCTTCTCCCCTCCCTTTCACAAGGTGAGAAAGAAGCATTCAATTTTTCCCTTCTCAGAAGAAGGAACCTAAAAAAAAAAGTATCTCACTGTGAGGAAGTATTTCCTGGCCCAGATAGAGTACAGAGTTGGTTCCATGTCTTCATTTCCAATCAGAGCCTTGAGGACTTTGGAGAAGATGGGAACTGTGGAACTTGAGAGGTGTTTATACAATAACTCCTTCAACTTTTCCTGATGGCTTGAGTACTCCACAAGGAGCTTGTAGTCTAAACCTTAAAGTGCATATATACATCTTGTAACATTCCATCAAAGAGTACATAATGTGCTTAAATTTTTTACTTACCTGCAACTTTGCCCTTGAGCTTCCTGATGTTCTTGAGATGCATAGTAGCTGGACAATTACGAACATTCTCAGAAACAGAATCCAAGAGGAAGAAGTACAGTTCTAGCCTTTCTAGATCTTGGCCTTCTATGCTCCCCCAAATCCCTGTTTCCATCCTGGAAATGAGGGAAAATCATGCCTAATTTAACATTCTTCACACAGCAAAAAACAAACAGAAAGTTACAGACCTGTTTAGAAATTCATCTGGGGCTTTCCTCAGATGGTCCAGGAGCTCTTTGTCCCCAAATTCCTGCTTGATCTGAAGGCTGCTTAAACCAGAGTCCAAGAAGAGGAATTCCAAATAAGATAGAGCCAGGGATTCAGGAGGAACATTATACTTTTTCCCTAGGGCCCATGCTGTATGGTAGGCATCCTCATTATGAGTCCTAGAAAGGATTAAATGCAACAGAGTCCATCTCTACAGCAGTTCCAAAACTTTTAGACAGGTTCATGCATCCTCTGTACAAGTTTTTCTTATTGATGTTTTCCAATCCTCATTCATGTTTAGGGAGCACTTGTTAGCAACTGCTAGTTGTTTAGGGAGCTATTATACATGAGTCATTCCAATTAATGGGTTATTACATAGAAGAGGAAAAATCCATTTTGCTGACCATATGTTTCAGGCCTTTGCAATCCAAAAGAAAGTCAAAAGAATAGAACATTTCTCCAGTGGGTCACTCTTACATGCCTGTGAAAAAGCATTTGATAGGATCGGAATTCTTGTAACAAAGCAAGAGCCTATCCTGACCCAAGAGTGTGGCAAGGAAGTGTATCCTATCCACCGGTGCAACTGTGAATCCATCTTTAATCATCTTTAATCTTAAAATTGTCTCAAGGGATATCCTCAAAAAGAAATAAAAAAAAACTTCCTCAATTCTAGGGCTAAAAGTCAAGGTACCAGAGGATCTATCTTTCTCAGTTACATCTTACAATAGATTTTTTAGATATTTCTTGCCAGTCACCCCATTTTCTGTAAAATAAGCCAAGAGCCCAAACTAAACATTTTGGAAGGAAAATTTGTGAGGTGTGATAGGTGTGATACTTTTCACAAGAGAAGTCAGCTCAGCAATCAAAGAGGGTCATACCATTGTGTGAATTAGGATGGAATGACTCATCAGTGCATGAAGGTTATAGTGTTTTGCAAATGAATTCATACCACCTTTAACATAGGGCCAATGCTTTTCTATGGAGGAATCCTCCCAACCTGGATGATGGTGCTTTTGTCATGGTGCCTGGGCAACATCCAACATATGTAGAGTGAACTACAATGGATTGGAGAACTTTGAGGCCAAGAATGAAGTATAAAGGAAATTGTTTTTGTCTTTTGAAAGGAAAATAATGGGTTGGAACAAAAAAGAGATTACAATAGGGTCCAGAAAGACATGGAATGAGAAGTTGCACCAGGAAAATTTGAAGAGAAGTGATCAAGCATTCATAGAATGCTTGATCATTTCCTCATCCCTTTCCAAGGGAGGAAGCATACAGAAGCTGAATGTAAGGAAGAATAACTATGGAAAAATGTCTTAGGCTTTAGGTCACGTATTCCATTCTTCCTTTAGATTGTTAGGCATTCTGCTAAATATGAAAAAATCAAATTATGGATGTCAATAGCCATAGCTATCTTCAAATACACAGCCCAACATAGACTTGAAGTAGGTAGAGTATTTGACATCCAGGGCTCAGAACATCTGAGTGCATGACTGCCCAACTTAGTGCTTGGCAGTGATCCTGCCTCTTTACGACTCCTCTATCCTTTCATACAGGCCACGCAATGTCATCTTTGCTGTATGGCAGCTCCCAAGAGACTGACAGACTGACTAATTGATGCAATGTGGTGCTATGAAAAGGGAGGGAGACATCTATCCTACAGAATTGAAACAATGGTTGGACCTCCTCTGCCACTGCATTGGATGCTCTATTGAGTTACCATGTGCAATGTTAAAAGTGGTACAAATTAATTTGTGAAACACTGTAACATAACAGTAGACACCATATAGGTGAAAGAGGATGACTCACATGACCATGCCAAGAATAGTGTCAACCTTATAATCCCGGTCAACAGCAAAGCGATTCACATCTACACCCTGTGCCACACCTTGAAGAAGTTGTGCTTGGACAAGATCTTCCAGTTTCTTCTCATATGAACAGAAAAGATCAAAGGCCACTCCTGCTTGGCCCATTTCTTTGGCTTCTTTCATGGCCTGGAGGTAATCAGATTTTTCACATGCACAGAAATATGGAAGCACTATGCTCAGGAAGCATTAAATTCAAGTTCACTTACCCTAATAGAGGACTTTGCAAATATTTCATGAACTCCATTTCCTTTAGTTTTATCATTGGAAAGCAGGAGGAGAAGTGCAAAGAAGTACTGGGCAAACTGAAGAGAGGCCTTGGTGTGGACCATGGTCTGGAACACAGATTCTTCCACAGCCATTGCAGATTTAACTGTCAGGAGAATGGACAAGGCCCAGGCTGCATCTTCAGGCAGGATGCTCTTTCCAAGTCTTAGCAGGACTAAATACCATGACAAAACCCCTCATTAAACCTCACCAGGAATCACAGGATGAGGAACTGTAAGTGTATAGCAAGCAATCAGAGCTTCCTACCATATTGAAGAGAAGTTGTGGAAGAAGTCTGTTGGGTGATGAGAGCGGTATCGATCTCAAGGAGGGCTGCCCTCAGCAACCCAAGAAGAAATCGAACCTGAGCCTGGACTTCTAGATGGGACATTGCATACCCTGTGTAATGGAGATGAAAAGCACTAGGATGCAAATCAGGATGCAAGGAGAGGTAGAAGACTGGAAGACGCAGGCTCTCAAGCGACAGATTTAGGTTTTCTCTTCTGGATGATGTACCATCAAGATCCCTCTTATGGTGCTCACTTTCTTTCTTGGCCCATCTATAAGGTATGATCATCAATTATAATTTCATCTAAAATAGAATCCATTCCTCCAAAAGGATGTAGAAATCTTTCATACCGGATGGCCTTCTTCCAGAATCGGGGATCGATGAGAGTTTTGGAAGCTCCATGGAAGGCATGAGTGATGGAAGATGGTAGAGGTATATGCAAGGGTGAACTGGTTTCCACCTCTCTCTCCTCTAAGGCAGGGGATTCTCCTCTCTCTCCTTCATTTCCTTCTCCTATCCACAAGCTGCTCTGCCTCTCACAATCCAAATGGATCATAGCACATTCCAATTCAGTCCTGGATGTGAACATAAACATGTCATGCATGTGACAACTCAGAAGATGAGACTCCCCCACACAAGGTGCAGATATGCACTCACCCAAGGCTTAAGAGTTGAGAAAGGGTTTCAGGAGGACAGTGAGCTATAGCAAAGCCAAGAAGTTTTCTCCTCATGGAGATATCCCCTTCTGGACAGAGACCATATTCCATGCATGCCTTCCATGATTCTATGCATCCCAGGTTCATCAGAGTCTCACAGCGTGAGGCACATGACTCCAGATCTCCCACCTGCAATAAGAAGTAGAGGTATTTGGTTTGGATTATTTTAGTCACACCCACCTTATATTTAACACCAAGACAACATTATCACAGTGACCTTAAAGGCATGGTGAGCAATGAGGGTGAAAACTCTTCCTTTTGTGACATCCTTATTCACCCCAGGACAGAGTAATCCAGCCAAACGGAGAAGTTCTGAGGAATTTTTGTAGGCATCATGAGTGGTCTCAAGGCACTGAGAGATGAGGGTCATTTTGTCATTCCTCAGCCTCACTAGAGCAGGCAGGATTTCAACCCTGAAGTTTCCCAGAATTGGCAGAGAAGCAATGAGGTCTAACTCTGCCTGGATCTCAGGCTCAGGGTCCTCAATCAGCTTGAGACATAACTTAGCCAATCCCATTTCCAGTTCCGTGAAGTTTCCACAGGAATCAAAGTACTCAACAGCAGCTTCTAAGACTAGTACCACACTTCGAGAATATGGGATGGTGTATGAAGATTTGCTGCTACCCCTCCCTCCCCCATATATGAGAGACAGCTTTCTTGATGAGGCCCCAGATGTCGATGATGGCAGAGAAGATTTTGATTTGGAATGTTCACGAGATGTTTCCATCATTTCTCCAGCCAAAGCAATGTTACCCGGCTCCCCCGAGGATAACAAACTACGAACCCATATCTCCACAAAGAAAGGGAAACATAATGCTTAAATCTGTACAGCAGGTGAAGTGTGAGAAATGTTGCAAGTTCTACTTACTTCAGTAACTTGAACATGTGAGATGCATAGGAATACAGTGTCCCTCAGTTGTAGCATTTCATTCAACAGCCTCTTCCACTCTGTTCCAGTAAGGCTTGGTTCTCTGTAGCAAAGACATATTCCATTACAGCCAACAACTGCAATAGAAGAAAGTAAGACCTATTCAGACAAACCGTCTTGCTGCTGTTCGAGAAAGACGCAGAAGCAGCTCTCCTATTGCAACAGGATCATCACGCATGGAATGAACTTCGTGGGGAGGGGTTTTCACTTTGTACAGATACAAGATCTGAGATGCTTCCACTTCCAGCTCCAGGCACTCCAGTATAGATTTTGAAACACTTTCTAGAGAACTGGGAATGTAAAGTTAAAACAAGTAATTATTCATTGTAATCCCCTTGCAAAAGAGATGAGAGATGGATGCTAATAGATGAGTATCATGGTTACTTACCTGATTCGTTTGTAAGGAAGGAGAAACTCAACCAAAGCTCTTGCAATTGGAAGAAGTTCACAATTGGAAAAGGCATAAATAAGGTCACGTGCCAGTTCCACCTGCCGACTTGCATCTCCCAGCATGGACCGAAGGAGGGGTTCATCTACTGAAGCCTCAAATATCTGTTCAAAAGTAAAGCCTACCACCTCTTAAGCATCTGGTATTTTCATTACAATGCAGTGTATCTGGTGGTGTATTTTACAGGTGAGGGGGGCAGGGGGGGGTGGCTGCTCCCCCTGGGACGAAGCTTGGTGCCCCCTTGGAGGCAATAATTTACTCCCAATATAACTCAAATGGGGTTTGGCACCCCCATTCTGCTGCCCTGCCCTGCCTGCCCTGACTCCAGCCAAAATACACCACTGGATGCATCCATAAATGTCTTCCTTGCCTTTAAAGGTCGTGCAAAGTCAGTTGGTGAAAGATGAATAAGATACTCCCTGAGGAGAGCTGAAGCTGAACCAGGGTTCCATTTTTCCTTCGTAGATAAGTATGGAAGAAGCCATCGCCTTATATAACCAATGTAGTTCTCAAGTCCCTCTGACTGTAGAAGACCAATTCTTTGTATTATAAGATCCCTCCATCAAAAGAAGATGCAAAGAATTACTAGGAAGAACCATACAGAGGACATGAGAAGATTCATGACATCCAAAGGAGGCATTTGCTTATATGACATCAAATCCAGGAGGAAATCAGGAGACACTTCATACACTATCATCTCCAAGATGCTCAGATCATCCAAGAACTCCTCCAAATTCTGTTAACAAGCCAGATAATTCATTCAGTGCTCCCTTATATTACATCTAATAACTACTTCTAATGGAGAACAGGGGACAAAAGCTGACAGGAATGCCCTTCTCGATGCCGAGCTTGATAAGATGTGATGCATACTCTGCTATGTGAGACTGCTTCTCAATCTCCTGTGCTCGCCACTTGAACCAAACAGACAGACTTTGTGGAGTGAGCATTTCTCCTCTGAAGGTAGACAGAACTCCATTGTATAACCAGTTTATATCCTCTTCTTCAGATGCAAGAGCCTCACTAGACAACAATAGACAAAGGAGTCACTCTAGGATACAATATTCATTCATAGATAACATTAATATCGATCTGAAAGGGGACATACAGAAGAGCAGCTGACTCAGACCAGTCTTCCCCTCGAAGTGTGTCTTCATCCCATGCATAAACTTCCCCATCATCAGAGCATTCAGGCAACAGGACACTAAAAAAGGGCTTTCTGACACAACACTAAGATTATCAATTGATTGAAAATAACATAAAAATTCCCACTTGTATTCATAGGGAGAAGTTGTCTCAGGAAACTGAGAGAGAATAGCCAGGCGATGTGGAAGAGTCTGCTTGCCAAAGAGGGTAAACATGACTTCCACACCTCTCCAGTCACTTTTGTGAGCGAAGTCCACTGTGGCTGCAACTGCAGACTGACCCCGAAATGCTTTGTAGAATTCAGCTTGATAGTGTTCAGCAGCCACATGAGGACCTCCCAGAATTCGCTACATGGTAATGAGGGACTCATCAGGATTTTTTGCTAGACAGGTATGTTCTTGCAAAAAATCCTGGCTTAGATAAAGAACCTCATATGTGTCAAGTCGATCAATGTAGGAGAGAAATTTTCGCCGCTGGAGTATAAGCTGTTGCTGCTCCAGTGTGAGCATGTTTATACCAATGCAGGCAAGATGTTTCTCTTGAGCTTCCCTTCCTTCTTGCTCATCTTCATCACTCTCATCGGTTTCACTGTCAGGTTCAGCCATCTTGAACCGTCCATCATCCTTGCCTATTGGAAACAAGGTGTCTTTATGGAAATGCTGATGGCATCAATGCAAGATGAGGAGAAGCAGACTGATCTTGTAAACCTTTCCTGATGTCTACCAGTATCTTCAGGCTTGTCCCTTGTAGTCCAAACTGAAGGAGATGCTTGGCTGCATCCAAGTCCTCAGGTACTCGTTCCAGACACTCTTTAAGAACCCAATTCCTTTTCTGGATCTTGCTCTGCCCAAAGAAGATATCTCCTTAAGCCTTGGTCCCAGGAGGTTGTTTGTAAGATGCAAGAATATGTATTTTACATACCAGGTAATCATGGATGGTATGTTGAGTGACTGGGTTCTTCCTCCACTGTTGCTGATACACAAGGTCTGTATCAAGGCCATACATGCGGGCAAGCATTACTGCTTCTCCATATGCTTCTTCATCCATCTTCACAAATCAAAATAAAGGCAATCTGGATAAAATATTTGCATGGGAAATGCCAGGGAGATGGACAGTGATGAAAATAGGGCACACCTTTCGTAAGTAGAGCTCTTGTGGAGTGGAGGACATGAGGCCCAGGAGACGATATGTCTTGGAGATGAGACGTGGTTTCTTCACAAGGGGATGAAATCGTTCACTGTCTGTCATCCAGTACATGAAGGAGCGAATGAACTCCTTTGCTTGTTTCAAAATATTCCTCTTCTCATCTTCACTGCTTTCCGTTAAAACACCTTCCTCATCCTCCTGTTCTGGTGCCTTTGGAGCAGCATCCTCTTCCATTTCTCCTTCCTGTTAACAATTTTACAGTTTCAGAATGCTTGCTTGCAGCAGAAACAATATTATGTTCCAAATTCTGACAAACTACCTGAGTTGTGGCTTTCTTGCAAGTGGATGCTTGAGCCTCTAGGGCCAAAAATCCTTTGCCATGCTTGGCAGAGATTGCAGGGGTGCTGTCTAGTCTTTCTGGGGAGTCACCAAGGAGATTCCTCAGAGAAAACAGGGAACTCACAGTCACAGTCCCATTCACCCTTGCTATAATCAATGCCTGCAACAAAAGATTTTGAAATTCCCCTCTCTCAAGGTGAAAAGATCAAGGACAATAATGCAAGCAGAACATTGAACAGAAACAACCTACTGTTTCATTCCACCAATGAACATCAATGGGATGCAAAGCTAGATCATCCTTCCCCTTTGGTTCACTCCCAACTGCTGGCTGATCAGAAAGTACCCACATCTTTTGGAATGTTAAAGCTGGTAGATGCCAGATGGAGATATTTCCACTGGCATGTAAGGCCACAAGATGCCTTCCAGAAGGAGATCCACGACATCGAAACACCAGGTCCTTCAACAATAAGGGAAATGGGTTCTTCACAGAAACTTCCTCACTGATGACCTGAAGGGGTGGGGTAACACTCTCACAGAAGGAGAAGTAGATGATGTGAAAGTGAATGAGGTGAGTCTTCTTAGAAAACCAGGAGAACTCCTCCATTTGGCTTCCTCTTCTTCAAGTGTGAGAGAGAGTCGATAATAAGGATGGTCTTGCACTATCCTCCATAGCGTTAGTCCATATTCACTTCCTTTCCCCTGTAAAACATTTGAACATGATATGGCAAATGGAGTTTCTTTTTGGAAACTGAATAAAGACAGCTTTCTAGTGATACATAATGCACAAGAATTGTGGGAAAGGATGATCAGCAATTAAAATGTTTAAAAAAGGAACTATGTATGTTTAACATGTAGATGGGCCAAACCAGACTGCTACATCCAGGGAGGAGGGTATTTAAGGTATACATTACGAGGCAAAGGTGAAGCAGCAAGTCAGTCTATTTTCAATAAAATTTCTCAGATACCTCCTCATATAGGGTGCCAGTAAGATTTATGGATGAGGTTTTGATCTTATTCATCCCTCACCCTTCTTGATTGGATTGTAAAAATAAATGGGGTCATGTATATATTTTTACATTATCTACAAATGAGTCTCCTACTGCTGATGTGAAGAAGAATCTGGAAGCCCTACAGATTCTCTCCCTCTCAGATGGCAAAATGAATTAAAAGTCAAGTAAAATACTTCACAGCAACCCTCAATAAAAGTGTCAGGGTGATTTCATATACAAAAACTTGATTAGAAAGGAACTGTAGTCTTTAATGTAGAAACTAATATGCCATTAAAAAATAGGTACTTCTTTGGACATCTTGTCCCTTCCACACACATGAAATTAACATTCGTGACATGCATAACAGATAGGTATGGCTCAAAAGCAAACCAAAGTAACCCAACTTTCCTTCACTGCTAGCACAACATTGGTGCAACAGCATCACTGCATAACATAAATACATAATAGAACAGAATATCAGGACCATGATGCAAATAAAGGTTTCAAATGTCAAACAGCTATTCTAGAAAATGGCCTTTTACCATGGAACAAACTATGCCATTAAATTAATGAAGTGAAGTAGGTTCAAGGTCAAGGCTGGAATATCAGAAGGTACTTTTGTCCAAAGTTATCCTGAGTTGCAGTTGAGCACTCACTCCAGCCCCACCCCCAACTCTAGGATAGGATGACCCCTATTAAACGTAGGAGCCATTCACTCACTTCCATAGTTACAGCTATACTGCTCTCTTCTTTGTTTTGTCCATGTACTTCACCTGTTTTTAAAGCTCTTCCTAAAATCAGAAGGGGCAACCACTAACTTCTCACCCATTTCATTTCATGCATTCACTACCTCACAAATAAATCAGCCATTCTAGAACATCAATCTCACTGTTCCCCTCCACTCTGCTGCAACCATCAAGTAAGAAAAACCCTCCACATTTCATGTTGTCATAAATCTCTCCAGCAAAAATAATCCCAATGTCCCACCAATCCCACAAAGTTGTTTGAAAGTCCTCATGCCACTCATACATTGCCTCTGAACCATCTCCAGGGCCATTGCAACCCTCTTACTTGTAGCCTATCAGGCCTCCAAAATTAAATGCAATACTCCAAATACTCCAAATGTGGCCTTACCAATCTGCAAGTAACAGAATAAAATGTAAACTCATACTGGAAATGGAATGCTGGCTGAAGTCAAAAGTCCTGTAGCATTAGATGTGGGTTACCTCCAGGTGCTAAATGAATTTCAGTCCTTCATTGATGATGATACTTAAACCATTTCCACTTATCTCCCCAAGTCTATCCTTGCCAAAAATATTCAAGAACCCCATTGATTATGGCCCATTTGAAGAACTTTACACTTTCACATTGAACTCTGAGAGCCATTTCTAACTTCACTTTTAAAGTAGTAAACCTCTCTTAGTTCTTGCCCTATTTTCCACTCATGTGATAGAGAACAATTTTCATGCTGTTGGCAAATACATTGATTTTACTCATGAAGCCTTGATCTGAATCACTAATGTATGTAAGGAAAGGAAGTGGGTTACACCACTTTGCTTGAGTCAGTTCATGCAGTGACTATGAGATATACATTATTAGAGACTTAAAATGAAAATTTATTTCCATAGCATGGTGGGCTGTGGTCAGGCAATAATAGGAAAAAATCTTCAATCTAGATGTCTTCGCACAGTATCTTCCAGGGAAATATATGTTTAGTTGATTTGAACCCCAAATCTTTGCTAAATCAATCTCACAATTCCATAGATTCACTCTATCCATGATCTCATGAGCTATTTTGTTCATAATGCTAGGCATTTCTGACACACATGAAAAAATGTTTTTGTCATTCATGTTGCAACAACTTGCTGAAAATAAATTCCCCACAGTTTTATTCCTAATACAAATACAAGCTCCCAGGAAGAAGCAGAATAGTGCCATCATATGCCAAAAAAAGATACAGCTCTGTAAAGTCAGAAGAGTGCAAATTTTTCAGTCATCCCTGGAATTACCCTTCTGTAACTTACAGGGAATGAGAGCTCTAGTTGCAAATGATACACCATTTTTGCTGAGACATTGTCTCACTCTGGGGCATAAGCCAAATCAAGATCAACATAGTCTTTCTTGGTCCATGTTTTTTTTTTATTGTCTTTTTTTTATATTTACAATATTTATCACATTTTAATATTGTCACTTTGACAGTATCAAAATTTTTTTTTGTCCCATACACATAATACTGCTAAATTTCCATTAGACTGGGTTCCTAGTTTCATGGGAAAATGTTTGGGACAAATCAGAGATACCAGATTTTTTTGCCTATTATTGCCTGTTGGTTTCCCCATGCACAGTGGGTGCATGGGGAAAAATAGGCTTGGGTGCCACTAAGCCTAAGTATCCAACATACCTCAACAGGCTGAAACTGTGATGGCCCAGAAGCAATGAGCACTTGATGATGGGGAATATAGTCTACATGAGTGAGTCCATGTGGATATATATAATCAAAGCAGAATTCATGACTTAAGTCATGTCCTTCGGTTAGATTTAGAGACAGGTAATAGGAGCGAAGGTTTCCACGGTAGTCGATCACTACAAGCTCAGTTGACCTGATGAAAAGAGGACATTAATCAGAAAACAATTGCACCAAGTAAGCAACAAAATGACAATGAGATTTGACTTCAATAATAAATTTACCATTGTGGAGAATTCTTGCATCGGATATCAACAAAAAACATGGCCGCAAGGGAATGCTGAAAGTTCTGTGAAGTGGAGTAGTGATCATGGTCAGGCTATTAAAAAGAAACAAGTCCATCTTAAGACAAGGGTATGTTCAATGTTCTGCATTCAAAGGGTGAAGTCAAGCTACAAACAGGGTATAGAGAGTAGAGGTAAGACCCAACAGTATCGAAAACCTCAACTACTCCTGAGCTCCCTGCAACAGCAACAAAGGAGCAGTCCTGGCTCCACTTCACATGACGCCATTTTGGGAATAGGTCCTCTGAAACTGAAACAAACCCTTCAGTTTTAGAACCACAGAAAATCTCTGCAGCAGTAAGATGTTTGCAGAAAATCAAAGGACATACTTGGACTTTGGCCAATGACAGAACCAAAGTCATCTTTCTCTGAGCGAATTTCAATGGTATCATCAGTCAGTACAGCAACTAGCTTCCCATCATTGCTGACAGCCATATGCCATGGTAACTGCTCGTTGATCAACCTTCATAAAGTATCAGTCCATTAGCCCCAATAAAGAGTGTATCAGTCAGTGCTTGAGAGAATATTTGTATCACTAACATTCCAACAAATTGGTAATTAAAAATTATTTTAGATATTAATGCAAAAACTGAATGTGTTTCAATCACAGTATGTGCCACAATTTTTTTTTATCAGAGGGTAAAAGCAAGCCAAAAGCAATCTAACATTTAGAGAAGACAGCTAAAAAAATGTACTAATTTAATACATGTAAGAGAGCCCTTTTCCTACCATGTTTATGTTTGTTATGATAGTGGGCAGTAACCTATGGTAGGATGATTGGTTCAGTGTATAGCAAAAGTTGGGTTTGCACTCATCCTAAAAGCCAAATACCCTCATAAACTCACTTTCTTCCCACAGCTACCTTCTACACCCCATTTTACCTTCTAACAAATTCAGAATAAGTACTCAGCCACATCAGGTCATATGATCTTGACAAGACTACAACTGGCTCTCTCTAGATTTAGAGGGTATTATAGGCTGATGAGAATGTAATCTAATCAGAAAGAAAAAACTCAGTCTGTACTGAGAAAAATTAATAGATGGTAGTTTTTCTTTGAGCAGCTGTAATTTAAATTTCTAACAAAAATAACATAAATATCCTCAGAATGGTATGTCATAACTCAGAGCAATCATATGAAAGGTCAACTGGCCTCACCTTGCAATTGGTTGTGCAACAGGGAATGAAGAGGCAGAGAATAAACTGCGCCATAAGGACCTTCTCAAGGAAGCCTTCTGCTGATCCTTCTTGTCCTATTGGAACCCATGCCAATGTGTTTGACTTTCAAAGTACAAAGTGAGTCAAAAGTCACTGAATGACTCTGAACAGCTATAACTCAGCACAGAAGGCATTAATTTGCAAACAGTTTTTTGCATAGGAAAGGGGGTGCAATAATTGAGAAATATGCAATGTTTAAAAAATTATTTACTTGGCATAAAAATGACTGTTAATACTGGCCATGATATTGAGCACTATCAAGCTCAATCATGCAAGCCATCACTGAAAAGTAACTCCATCAATCTTCTCAGTGATGTGTTACCTCAGTTCAATGATTGTGTGAAAAATTTTTGAGTTATACCTGGTCTTGAATTGAAACCATGCAGTCAGAAGTCAAGTGCAGCCAGGTCAGGTGACCTGCAAGGCCACTCGATCAGCCCAATCTGGCCTATCCACCTGTTCTCAAAGCAAAACTATGCTTCACTTTGGAAAGATTTCCTACTCAGATAGATAATAAATTAACAATGGTGACACATTCCTCCAAAGAAAGTTCATTGGCATTATCAGAAAACCATTTGGAGCAGCAAAATTAAAATAAAATAATCATGAATATCCTATTCATGATTATTTTATTCCATTTACCCAAAATATCATTTTAATGTTAAAAAATGTTGCTTTTCGTTTTGTGCAGCCTTATCCCATTTCTTGTTGGTATTTCATATAAATTTCCATGTTATTTCGTCAATTAACAAAAGCTCTTTCCTGAGCAAAAAACAGTTTGCAAATTAATGCCCTCCATCCCAAGTTATAGTTGTTCAAAGTTGTCAAGTGACTTTTGACTCACCCTGTATTTTGTGAAGTTTAAATTGTCTGTAATATCTGAGAGCAATCCATAGTATAATAATTTTATCAGTTCTGTTATGTTTGCCAAACTATATTAGTTACATGAACAAAGCCTGTCCTGCCTGACAAACCTGTTCAAGCACAACATTTTCCTTGCAACAAATTTTACAACCAATTCCTGTTGGACCATGTGAAAAACTCGCTGATAATGCAATTTGGGAGCTGCCACTTCTCAGATCAGATACATTATAGTGAATAAGTTAGGATGAGTCTCACCACAGGTTTGGCTTCTTGGTGCCACTCAGAATAGATGAGCAATTCATAGAGGATATTTTCATGGGGTGATGGTGATTCCTTTGAGTCATTCATAGCCATCCAGTCACATTATAGTCAATGCAAATAAACAAGTCATTATCCTGTCATCCAGGGATATTTTTATTATTACTACAGGAATTCTGTTGCTGCAAGCTCCTCCTTTCAACTGAAATATTGCAATCAATGGAGATTACAATGTGAAAACAATTCTGTTACACTTCCAGGTTTTTCAGAGTGAAGTGGATGATGCCAGTAACTAGAAATTTCATGCAGCACTGCCTGCCCAACTAAAGTCATAGAATTATGATTTTAGAAGTAGGTATTAAACTACCAGAGCAAGAAATGATTAAGAAACTCCAATGAAAAAGCAACCATTTGCAATATCTCAGAGAGGCAGCGCATGCATGAAGCAGATGCCAATCTGCAGCAATCACTGATTCAAGTGATTGCAAGCTTCAATAAAACCTGAGAGGAAAAAAAATGCTAGCAGCATATCACAAAGTTGGACATACTTTATTCTCAATGACAAAGCCAGAACCCATGTCCTCATAGCAACAATGGAGATTCATATATACTTAGTTGCAAAAAACTGTGACTTTATTAAAGCCCATAGAGAATTAGCCCTTCCTATAATATGAGAAGAGCAACCAAGTTCATTAGGTCTATAGTCTCTGATTGAAGGCAATAAAAAAAATCTTCTAGGGGCTTTCATAGCAATACAGTTTTTTCCTGAGACTAAGTAGGTCTACATAAGCAGAAGAATCAGAGCTGACAGGATATCTTTTGTACTCTACAGAGGAGAGGAAGTCTACAAAAATGGAGAGATGCATACACGAGTATTGCTACAGACTAGTTTGGCACACACTCCTTCACAAGAGTAGCATAAATTAATATTTAAAAAAGGCTCTGAGATCCATATACAACCATCATAGCTTCACTTCTAAAGCAGACATTGAACAGATTCTTTGGCAAGCTGCCCTTCTAGGGATCCCACAGATGAAAGACCTAAAAGTGAAGACAGGTGGTGGTACAGCAATTCCTTGCCGCTCGGGAAGATTTTTACTGTCTATTCACGACACTTATTAGAGGGTCGAGGGTCACAGGGAAGCATGGGAATGTCATTATGGAAGTGGGAATGTCACAGCCACATAAGAACATTCATCACAAATTCACAACCAGGTGCAATTTCTGTAGCTTCTCAAGAGAGACTAGCCAGAGAAGACTCCTGTAAGCTTTTTCGTTTGAGGAGAAGCTGGAACTGGGGGCAGCTCCTGGCATGATTCAGGAGATTGAAATTATGCTGAAACTTGCGGTGGCATCCCTCACATGCAAACTGGGGTGCAATACCGCATTCATATCGCACATGACGCATTAGTGATCCTTTCACTGAATACTTTCTTCCACATTTTGGACACTGAAACCCTTCATCCTGCTCACAGAGACCTTTTAGAAAAAAATGAAAAGAACATGAAAAATACACCTACTATGAAGTCAGCTGCATGAACCAAGATGGTGATAAGTAACTGTTCATGTTAGTTCTGATGATTCTTAAAAAAAATGCTGTAAATGAGAATAAGCTGAAGAGAATGAGATCAAAGCTCAACTATATCCACCTTCTCACTATACTCAATCACACATCATCAGCATTATGATTATGAAAGCATTTTCATTGAAAACTATGTTATAGATATACCATACAGTACCACTGGGACATATTTTTTTTTTTTTTTACAGATTTACACAAGATGAGCCTCCACCTTTCAAGAAACAAAATAGAAAAGGGAAATTAATCCAATCCTGATAGTCACAAAATTCTCAAGTCAATGAAGCTCAGAGCAAAGTGAACCCAGTGTAATTTACTATAATAAATCTTTGGTTCAAGTGAAAGAAGTATCCAATCAATAAGTTTCCACCATTTGCATCTAAATTATGTAAGTAGATAACATTATGAGAAATGTGAAAAAACCAGTCCCTTTTGCCACCAGAGAAGCAAGGAAAACTGCAGATGAGTCTGTTAGAAAGAAATAAACGTCTAATCTCTGGTTCCTTCCCAGGGCTGGAAAAACTACTTCAGAAATTTCTGTTACCTGGCAACCTGGCTTGAGTGTGCAGCAGTCAATTTGCTGACACTGACAGAAATTGAGTTAGCCTGACTTGGGGAATGTTCACACATAACACAAAGTATTGACTTGTAGGGGTAGGTCCTTCGCACACCCACAAGAGCAAAGAGTCGCAGATATAGTTAGGAAACCATACAGAAAAGAGTGTCTTTATTTTTATGTATTTAAAAATTCCTTGAACAAAGATTTAACAAAGTGATAACTTCCAACTACAGTATTCTCATGAACATTGACCTTGCCTAAACTGAGTTTCACTCAAAGCTCTTTGAGCATTTTTCATGGCTACCCCCAAGTGGCTGCCATTGTACCTACAAATCTTGATTAAATCGCTACAAGGGATTTATTAGTTGCCATTGCTGATGTGATTTTTCCAGCTTTAATTTCAACTTTGAAGTGAAAATAATGGAAGATAAATACCACCAAATGATAAGCCATTCTTCACCTCAAGATCCCACAGCCCATGCAAAACTTTCATGCTTCAGATGGAAACTTTTTGATTCTATGTCATACATAGATATAACAGCACAAAGGGGGAATGACAATGACAAATGAAATACAAAGAGGAACTAGGCTAACAAAGAATCTATGTCATGCTTTGGCTGGAGGAGGCTTTGCTGGAATTTCTTTTCCTTATGTAGTAATACAGAGATGTGCGTTTCATATGATATTTCCTGGTAATTTCAGACACTGAAACACCACTATCATATTCTGCAAGTGCCATGCTAATTTCTTCTTTCCTGTAGGACTGCTTTGGTTGGATAAACATGCTTTGGATGAAGAATGCCGATGAAGGGAGGATGCCAGAGCTCGGACCTGCCTTTTCCATCACCCTCTCTGTAAAAACAAAAAGTAACATTCAAAGGGTGAAGCCTCACTTCTAATGATAAATGTCAGATAATGGGTGACATGCACATCAGTTAAATTTAAATTGAACTGATTCATAACAGTCATATCTGGGAATTGGTTTAATCAAGATCCAGCTACTTCATAAAAAAGCTAATACATCACATCCCATTAAAGTTTATTGGATCTTGTGCATGTCCCCTAATATCATATTGACCAAAATGGATACATACCAAATAATGACCATGAGTATCTTTACCTTCAGCCTGGCTTAAAAAATATTTCCAAAAATCTTATAGTATACCTGAGTACTCATAAGAATTTATTGACTGGAAAAGGCAGGCCTTTAGACTCTGTATCATGATGATGGTTTCTTTTCATTCAGAAGCAACTGAAAGTATGAAACAAGAGTACAAAAGGATGCATAAGCATGAGTAATTTAAAATTATAGGTTAAGTGTGCTGACCTGAACTTAACCTATATCTATAGGTTAAGTTCAGATCAGCACACTACAGCCAACTTATCAAGAGTTTTGAAACAAGAACTGAAGTCCCAATTAAAACCGAACAAGACAGTCTTTAAGATAGAGTTTCAACCATGGGGGCAGAACCATAACACATAACAGACAATTAAAGATTAGTAGCAGGGCTGTCCACTGACCTTAAGTCACATACCAATATAACATGCCCAATCAATTGCCAGTATGTTTTGGGGCACTTCACAAGTAATGACAATGAAGGACAAATCTAACACCAGGTCTTGGTTGAACTAGTGGAGGCATATTCAGTTACTCATGATAAATATTTTCAAGTTGTGACTATGACTTTAACAAATCAAAATTCAACAAGATTCAATTCAATTCAATTCAACAATAACAAATTAATCTCATCAAATTGACAGCCTTATTTCGTAGTAATAAGCATCGTGTCTGTCAACATATTTTCCTCTAATATTTTTTGCAAATCATCTCTATATTCTCAAGATTTCATAAATGTTAGGTTTGGACCATTCATCAGAATGTTATTTCTCCCAGTCAAGGATTGAGTTCATGTTTCAATTTTTTTTTGCTCCATTCCCAGGTCATGAATGTACTGACTCAGAGAGATATAACACCTCCCATCAACAACAGTAGGAAATCGGACAAAGCAATGAACAAATATTTGTCTTCATATGAAGCCTTGTAGCTAGAATGAATGCTAGTTTGGTCTCTCTCTCTGCAAAACTCTTTTGCAAAACTAATTCCTACAGACCAGACATGATGTCCACTCCTCTGAAGCAACCCTGGGCTATTGTCACTCATTGATGGGTCCCTTGTGGCAATATGGTACCAAATCATCTTAAAGCAAGGGAAAATGATGATATGCTGGAAGGATTGCATGCAACATACCACCTTTCAAAAGTTTTTCAATGTTTCAAATTCAAACTTTTCAGCATATACAGCATGGACCAGCGAAGTTTTTATTCATGCTCATGCTTTCATAAAACTTACTCATTTTTTATCATATATGGAGATGATGATACTGCTAACAACTGTAAATATGCTATCAGAGTTCTGAAAACAAGCTTTGGAACTCATCTGACCAGGAAGTTCCACTCAACTAGAAATTCCAAAGCATTTTTATTGGAATTGTTGCTTGAAAGCCCAACATTTTATGATTCTTCCATGGTTCAGAGCAATGATCTTGATCATTAAAAACCAAAATGGATTCCATGGTTAATATGAATAAATTTTATTCCAAGAAGTTATTGGTAGCTTTGCACAGATAAGGAAATAAGCCATTCTAAACTGAAGTTTAAAAAACTTCCAGCTGATGCTGCAGATGCTGAGAAATTATATTATGGGAAAAGTATTGGAAGACTAAAAACAGGATACATCAATATATTACCAGTAAACAGGGCATTAGAGATGAGATAAGAGAAAGCAAAGAAAGGTGGAAATATGGCAAGTGGAGTAGGAGAGAAACTAACTCACTATTGTAAGGATAAATAACATTCCTCATGCAGTTAGGTGGTCACAGTTGAGGACTTTATCCCTTTTAGTGTCACAGGAACTACACTGATTTCCAAAACTTCAGGAACACATTAAAAATCTGCTGTATGAAATATACCAAGTGAATGTTGTGGATAAACTAGCCATGTGTTGTTGGATGTCAGCTGGGCAATCCCAGCAAAAAATTACGATCTGGAAGGCACAATGGCATGCCACCTCAATGGCTCTGTTTGATTGTTCATTTCAGTCATTTTCAGGGTTTGGCTATCTTGAAATAAACTGCTTGCCATCCAAATGTCAACTGCACTACCCCATCTCAGAATGCCATCTTTTAAAGACATGTAATTTGCATATCAGCGGGCAATTTCCACCATGTTGCATGTACTACGGCAATATAGCATTGTTAATTTACATACTCCTGTATATTTCGACCATATTCATGACAGGTGTTGTGGAACTTGGGAAAATCTATTTGTTTCTTAGATTTTGGAAACCAGTGTGTATATAATTGATCAACCACATAGCACTAAAAGGGTTAAAATCAGGCTCATGAATATTGGCAAGATCCATGGGTAAACATGAGCCAAAGAGCAATAAAGTTAATCCAAAATACATTTATGAATTAACTTCATTAAATAGACAGAATAGATACAATTGACCTTTAAGCAATGTGATAGGTATACCCTCTGGTTCATTGAGTACATGAAGAAACTACAGACATGCAAGTGTTGGAGTCAACTGAATCAACACACTTACTAAATTACTGGTAATAATTACTCTGTCCCTCATCTGCATGTCCCACTTTTCAGTGTTTTTAAGCTACACATGGTATACAATAAAAGCAACCTTTTTGCATGTCCAGAAATCATGTTATGCATTAGCTAAATTTCATGCTGTGCTTCCACTCATTCATTTTGTCCCATGCCTTCAACAAACAATACCTGCACAGGATGTGGTTCATCAGAATCATAAAAGTCAAATTGTTTCAACTGTAGTCATGTTAAGATTTGGGACAATGCCATGTTTTCTGTTAGGCTGCAACCCAATCAAGTCTGACTCTTGTAACCTAGCCTTTTATTTATTCCCATCAGTACTGTAGGTATGACTTCCATGCATTCTAAGCTGACATGCAAAAGGAAACTTTGCAAAAAGAAAAATAGCAAAGGCATTCTTAACAAGTCTTCAGATATGAGCAGTTCTGGTAATTCATGCACCTATGTGGCATTAGTCCAAGATGCAAGGGATTCCTTTGACTTGCATGCTAACTGTAGCCAGAGTACACAGGCTCTACCAATATCTATTTCACCACACAACCTGAATAAACTTATTCTACTAACTTTTGGATTGAACTTGTTCACCATTAAATATATGTTATGCAGTAAATAACCCAACAGCATGGATAAGTTTGAGACATGGCATCAGCATTCCTGTAAACAGAGAGCCGCCTTCAGGCTTCATGATCATAAAAAAAAAACTGATCAATCCCAAGAGGAAGGAATAATGCAGATCTTTCCCTATCAACAAAGAGTCAACATCTCATATCTTCATAACAATAACCATGCTGAGAGCTCATTCAAACATACTATGCTCAATGGGGCATACCAGGAATCTGAATTTGAACACATTAGGTGGTAAGAGACTTGGCATGCAGACTAATTGAAAGAACTGCAGTGCATCAGAGTATACAAAAAATATATATAATGAATTGAATTGAGTCAAGTAGAAAACAACACACCCTATGAATGTCATGTCATTGCCCAGTAATGACACATGATTTCAGACTTCAGTCTTACATGAAACCATACAAACAAGAAACAATCACAGCAAAGATTGGCCTCCCTTGCCTTAGGCATATAAGATGTAATATAAGATATAAGATATAATAAAAGCCATGCCATGCCACCATCACATCCAAGAGAAAGTAACTACGTCAAGTCACCACCACCTTCAAGTGACATATAAGGTGCTGAGGCTTTCAACAGCCTAGGCATATTATAATTTACAACAAGCTTTCTTGCGGAAACAACTTACAACTTTGAATCTACTCACCTGAATTTGCAAAGCTGTTGTAATCAGGGGAAGTTCCAGAATTGCTGTCTTCCTGCCAAAAGCCATCAGAAGACCCTTCATCTGGCTCAGGTTTCACTTTATCCAGTCCTCGTGGGACTTCCTTCACACTCAAAGTATCATTTTCAGGCTCACTTGAATCACTGACAGCCCCAACAGGGGTCACCGTGGCTGGAATCTTCTTTAACATGTCCTTGACCTTGTCAAGATCTGATGCATCATCATAAGATGTGGAAGCTTCAGCTGCACTGGATTCTCTTACTGGTAGACTAACTTTTGGATTCTCTCTGAAACTCTCAGAATCCTGATGAGTTCTTTTTGAGGGAGCAGATGAACCCAAGAGAGATCGAGGTGTAGACTGATGCCTCTCATATGAAGCAGGTGCAGAAGTGGGGACTTGGGATGAATCCAGGTTATCAGCCAATCCCCGGATTCTAAGGCTTTCTGCAACCTTAATGAGACTCTCCAATTGGTTGGGACTCACATTCACTTCCCCACGATACATGTAGTCAATGAGACATTTCAGATCTTCAAATTTCACATCTTTGAGAAGGAGGACTGGGTGTTTATCACCAAGCTGCATGAGAATTTGCTGAAAAATAAAATAATATTCAATGTAGTAACATTTTATCAAATTTAGGCAAGACCTCAAGGCATGCAAGCAATTGTGGCTTCCAGAACAAGAAATTATGCCTAAATTATATGCGAATGCAGTTTTATAAGGACAAAGTTTGCCTGTTTTCTCTCTGGCCTATGGCTGATTTCAAAATAGTGGTTCAGTTGCAGTTCAGTTCTAGTTTCAGTACAGACTTTGGTCTGTGCTCTTGTTGACTTCTATCACAAAGAAATCCCAACTGGAACTGAACAGTTACTGAACTGTGACTGGACAACAGTTTTGAATCAGCCTCAACATTCAAGCAAAGATTTTCAGTAAATAACCAAAAATTTTTTACCATTTTCTTCCAGAAAGTCTGCCTTTCTCTATTTCTTCACAAAAGACATCTCATCAACCTGTTGGGCCATATGTTCAGCTACATCCATCATGGCACCAGTTACATTAAAATTTGTCCAGGAAATGTATTTAGCAAGGAGCCTAGCAAAAGCATTTCATGTGCAATGGTCTCTTTCATTCACTGAATGTGGAACTGCATCAAAATGCAAGGTCTTTTTTTTTATTTTTTTTTAGCAATTTAAACATTTCTCCTCATTTCAGACAAGCATAGTTCATCCATGAGCTTTGTCTCAAGTACTCCCAGTGTCCCTTCCAATAGCTTTTAAATGATCAGTGACCATGAAAGATGTTCTGGTTGGCTCTTGACACAGGCATTCCACTACCTCTTCTTTTCCTTCCTCAACCTCCATTCAGCCATACCAGATCAGACAAAAGATTTCTTGTGTCTTCTATGCAATATCTCATTTCCCAAGACTCTAAAAATCAATATGAGGGCAAAACCAGGCAATCTTTTCTCGCTAAAGTTCATGAGCATCAAGTTGAGTTCATGGCATCACACAAATTTGAGATGGAAGCAATATTTGCCTGTTAAAAGTATTCACTAACATAAAACCTTTGTAATGAGCCACATCTAATGAGCAGAAATTAGTTCATATTAATAAGTAGTGCCTCAAAATAAATTAAATTTCCAACTCACCTTAACCCTTTAAGTCCTAGTCACACATCCCTGACAGCTATATTATTGTCCCTCCTGTCTATGGTTGCATATGCACAATTTTAAATTTGGCACATGAGTACTACTGTAGTGGATTTAGTGTTAGGTTCATCATATTGCAAGTTTTCAAGAGTCACATATTTTGGTAAGTGAACTGCTAAAAGTCAAATATGTCCAAATATGTAGCATGCCTGTACTAAACCTAGTACTTAAAGGGTTAAGAACTCTTCGGATTCAAAGACCAAATACTTTCTTCTGGAATTTTTTTAATCTAAAATGTCACAAGAGAGCTGCATAAGCATCCATTTCATGACTCAAGTGCAAATTCTAAACCCAAATAATTAAGCAGCCCCTATATTTCCACTTTTTAAGGAGAACAAGGGAAATAAAATAAAATTGCACTAAGTCGCTTCCTTGTTAACAGTAAAAACTTGAATCCCTCACTTCCAAATGGTATGTGGACACTGCATTGAAAAAAATCTTTTGAGTTTTTATTCAATTTTTTTTATTTTGCAGTATACTTTAATGGTTATTGTCATAAAACTCTTAGGCATGAATGAGGCTTAAAAGGATTAAAATTGATCTCTTGTAATCAAAGACCAGCTGAAGACCAGTTTGAATAAATACTTTCTTTGAGAATTATGGTAGCTTTTCATCATTTAAAAATTTTTAAATGCCAGTATACATGGTAGTTTAAATAATTCCTGCAATTCAAGAATGTTTTGAACATCTGAGTAATTGCAAAGAATAATTAAGTAACCATTTTATGAGTGATGGAACACAGCTAGCAATTAAACAAAATGTGCATCATTATCCAGCTCTGAGTTTACCCAGTCAGAATCCAAGCATAGGCAGCCTTTCAGCCTAACATAATCTGCAAAAAGGAAAAAGTCATCGTTCTACTCTGAACAAGGGTTACTCTGGTTGCAGGGACAATCATCACCTACTTCTGAGCGAAATTGCTTTCAAAACTTCCGACTGTCTGCTATCATCTTACATACCTATTTGCATCTGCAATAAGCTTAGGCCTATGTCTTTGTTGATAAAGACAGCAATAATCCAATGAACAAAAGAAAACAAAATCAAATATCCTGTCTTCTGGCCATACTTGATTTGTTGTTTTTGAAATGTTCTTCCCATAATACTGAGCGATTACATTAGAGTTTCCTGTGGTCTTGCCTATCTACAGTTAAACTTCATGTTAGACTTTAAAGACTATGGCCCGAAAGCATAAACCTCATTTGGGCAAAATAAAGGGATCTTTAAGCAAAAGAGCTCTTTTTCTCCCATAGTATTCTTAAAGGACCGTTAACTGAAGGAGGTTTCAGCATTCGGGGCTATATCTATGAATATGAAAGCAACGCGAAACTTCCTAAACGTATGCGTCTCCAGTTAATTGGTCACTAACTTGGAAGTAAGGGCTGCAGGCAGAGAGGATGACCTTGTGTGCCCCGATGGTCTGTCCATCGGCAGCCAGAGTGACATCCACGAAGGCATTACATGTCAGAAGCTGATCGAAGACATTCTGCAACGTCGATAAGTGACTATTCCACCGCAGACAGTATTGCTGATCCCCTGATCCTGCCATCTTCGGTGTGATGCTTCCAGGATAGGTGAGGTATAAATATGCGCGGACCCAAGTCTTACGAGGCAATGAACTGGCTCTTTGGTTGATCAATGGTGATGAAAGATGACGAGGCAATGGCAGGCAGACATTTTTAAATGGATAATTTCCACTATGACGCCTGCGCATGCAGGTAAGAATGCGCAGACATTGGACCCCGCGTTGTTCCACACGAGCGAGTGAAGAAACCCACCCCCCTTCCCCCCGGCCCTTTTTTAGTACAGAGAAAGGGAGATCTGGGACTGAATCTGAGTATAGGTGCCGTTTCATCCATCTCTCTCCTTTGTTTAGCCTTTTGAAATGCTACTGTTCTCTTCGTGGCCGCATTCTGGCCTTGGATTAAAAATGTATTATACTCGGCGGAGGCTAAATATGACTGGAAAATATATGCTGGCCTTTTCTCCGAGCATAAACATTGAGAGGAACAGGGCCCCTGCTAGAATTCCCTTTGATGCACAGGAGACAGGGAAACTATCACATACGTAAGGCAGGTGAGAATGTCATCATAGCTAGCAGGGTCTCGTCTGTTTCGGGCTGTGCTTGGAACAACTTCGGAATTTCCATCGGCTTCAACGTTCCGAATTCATTGGGGTTGTATTAAACTTTTCCCGAATTTGGACGATCTCAGATCTTTACACCCTTCGAAGGGAATCCACTTCCCCCGAGACTTCGAAAGTGGTACACCGTCAAGAACGGAGAAATAGCGACCAAAAGGCGAAACTCCTCGAACTGTTCGGGATGGTATTCTGTTTTTTTTTTTTTTTTTCATTGTCCCTTGAAACGCATTTGAATCTAGACAGGAGTCTCTTCCCACCGACTTGTTAATCGTGATTACTTTGGTTCAGGTTCCCTTCTACCCAAAAAAGGCATATAGTGGGGGTCGAGTGGGGGTCAGGATGCAAAGCGACACCCAGAGTAGGGCTTGGAAAGCAAACGCAAACATTTTTCCAGCCTTGCAGGCAAACACGTAACCTGGAAGAAAGTGCTGACTTCTTTCCATTCCAGGAGCAATAGGATGTGAAGCCAGTCACACATGTGAATATGCATGATTCTTCGTCATTAAATTATTTTGAATCGAGAAGCCAAACTGGCATGTCAATCACGGAGCAGTTATTCAAAGAGTTTCCCTTCTGTCAACTTTTTTTTTCATTTGGTTTGGTGGAAAACAAAGAATAAACAAAATACATACTGATTCCTGAAGTTGGAAGAGTCAAATAGGTTTTCTCAAAGCAGCAGACAGGAATGGCAAACTAAGGTAAAATTTTTTTGAACCCATGAACTGTCGATGCATTTTACTCCATAAATTGACAAATCTTTTGGCCAAATTAAATAGTGTCTTACTCCGTTACATCAGTCAGCAAAAAGGCGCAGCATGAAAGTAGGGGTTAAAATTTATCCTCTTGAAAGATTGGGAGGCTCCTGAACTCCTAGTTTTGCAGCTATCCCTGCAGAAATCACATAACGGACTTAAAGTAGAGTTAGGCCTATTACCAGTAATATACCTTTCCAAGACAAAAAGAATCCTCAGAAGCACAGTAGGTGTAATGGATCCATCTACTTTTCTTCCATCTATAAGAACCTCTGCAAGATGTTCTTACAGAAACTTTCTATAAACTGAATCATAGAATGAGACAACTTTCCATTGAAGGAAAATTTCAAGTCATCATGATACCAAATTTTTGAGGAAAGGAAGGGCAAAGCCAACCCACCCCACTCAAGATGTGAATGATGGGGGAACTCAGTTATTATTTATTTTGATATTACTGAAAAGAGACATCTTTAAATACTAGTTTAGAAACAAAGCATTGCATTAGATAGTTAGTTACTGCCATTGATGATGCAATACACAAAAATGATGGAATTTAGACATTTTATATAATATGCAGCATGACAAGGTCTGAATCCTTTTCAAATAACTCAGATGTCTATGTGTTTTTCAAGTTCCAATACCCAATATGTAGAGATACCACTATATGAACTACAATTACTCACACATTTTCGAGCCCTAATTTCTATAACCATAGTTGAATAGTATGAGATGAGCTGGTCTCCTTTGAGCCAAATTGGCCCAGACCTGCCCAAACACAACATAGCTTCTACACTGTGAACTGGTAAGTTAGATTGAAAAGTCCTGCCATGAAAGAAAATATTCAGCTCCTGGACATTGGATCAAATGGTTAAATTAATCACATCTATACTCTAACTGTGCAAAATGCTCAAAACTGTATTTTTAGGCGAGGATAATTAAAATATATTTATAAAAATTTCAATTCTCCATTCAACAAAGAACATATAATCACAACAACACATGGCACAATATTCATCCTGTGTCGTGTGTAACACCAGGCAAGAGGACCATGGCTGCCACTCTGCAAGAAAGTCACATCTTTGTAAGTAATCTTCAATTTCTGAAGTAAATGGGGTAGTTTTCCCAAACAGACAAAATATTAGAAATGACACACACCTGGGAATGGCAAGAAGAGTGAGGAACTCTTGAATGCGCAATGCAGCAATTTTCTCCATCTCTGACTCAACAGGAGTCTTCTCCAGGTGAGACAACATCTTAGACAAACACAGAATTGCTTTGGACCCAAACACTTCCTGCCTTGTGCGACAGCATAACTGCACATGTAGATAAATTAAAATACATAATTTGCAGCAAAATTCCCTGGGGAGATTCAAGGAACTGACATTTGTTCCCCTCACCTTGGTTAGAGCTTGAGAGAGAGCAAGGAAACTTCTTGCATTGAGGATACCAGATGAAAGTAGTTCCAAACAAGCCATCTCAAGGGCCTCAAAATAGTAACAAACTTCTTCTTCACTCCATTCACACTCCCTGTCAACAAACTTGATAAGTTACAAAAAGGCACACAATGAGACAGGGCTCAGCTGACACTGTATTTCCTAACCTGGATGCAACAGCGCCAGAGAGCTCCTCCACAATGGACACACAGATAGAGGCAAGTTCTCCTTCCCAGCGAATTGGAGGAACGAGGAATTCCCTCACTGCTCCTCCACACCAAGGATATAAGGCAGGAAAGACATGAAGAATCACAGGCAACTGCTTCTCCAGTACCCTGCAACAACAGGTCATTCATTGATATCAATCTTCAGCAAGACCAAGTCACCTTCCATAAGAATCAAAATTGGGACTCAACTCTAAAAGAGCCATCTTGTACGAGGAGGATGGAAAGACGAGGGCTGTGCGTTTCAGAGTGCCAATCAGCCATTGGCAGAGATCTTCTCGTCCTAGCACACTCTTGCACTTTACCATAGAGTCCATGCAAATGTGCAGAAGTGGTGGAACAACTTCACAAGCCTGCTCCACTCTTGGAAAACCCATTAGTGGCAACAGCTCAGTAAAGAATTCAGAATGCCTAGAGGGATGAGAATTGATGACATATCATTTCTGACATCTCAAATCATATCTACCTCACTTGGATATAAAAGCAAGTATCAAGAAAGACAAACTTTTCCTCTGGCATCTGAAGAGCAGCATTGATGTTGAGCATTTCATTCAACCCCCATGCTTCATATTTCTTGGACAGGTCGACAAGAACAGCACTGATGTCCTCAGAGTATGAAGGATCTTGTGCTAAGAGTTTCTTGGCCTGGTCTATCAGCAAAAGCCCTGACACTAAGGGAAGATCCCAGATCCGCTGGTAGAGACCCCAGGGATCCCGAATTGTCTCCAATAGGATGGGAATCAGGGGAGAAAGAAGTGAGGAGAGGGCCTTGGAATGCCATGAAGCCAACAACCACATTGCAGCTGGGTGGTCCAGCATGATATCCCTGCAGGCTTCAGGGTTTCCCAAGTGGATAAGTAAGAAATCAGTAGCAAAGAGGACATCCGTGTACTGAGCACGGAATCCTGATGGAAAAAGATGGCTGCATGCCTCCTTGTACTCCTTCTGGAACACATTCCCTATAAAAGCAGTCATGTGTATACTGATGAAGGTAGGGAAGAAACCTCTTAGAACCAAATGTAATCACACTAGAAAAATTACTTCACCATTTACAAATTACATCAAGAACCTTGCAAGAATGCAAACAATTTCCAAAATAACATCACTTTAAAGAAATGTAGTAAAATCAAATAAACAAGTATCATGCATGGAAAATTTAAGGGGCAAAAGGATAACAGAGAATAGAGCTGGACATATACCGGAGCTAGAAATGAAAGCAAAGGATTTTGATGGGAAACGGTAATGGAGACAAAACCCAAACGTTAGTTCCTTGTAGAGTTCTCTTTCCATATACAAGGCTCAACCCCAGCTTAAGAGTTCATAAAATTGACACAAGTAAGCATCAAACAATAAAGGCATGCAAACACTGTAGTCTTCCTGGATCCACAAGGATATTTGGAAAGAAGGAATAGAGCATGACAGTGCAACAAGGAACACTCTCAACTGGTCACTTTAATGAAAGAAAACGCAAATACGCAAAATAATATTAATACGCAAATAATACGCAATTTGTAATACGCAAAATGCATTCTTAAAAGTGACGAATGCGCAAATACAGGTACTGCACTTCAGAATATACACTTTAAAAGCTGCTTGAAGAACGAAGAAGAAGTACAGTACGATTATTTCGATTATTGGAATACTCCGGAATATAGAATAAAGTTCGCTGGTCCCGTGAGTACTCCATTAAGCGGAGTCGACTGTACTTCTTTTCTCTTTTCTCCGACGAACTAAACCGAGGCGAATAAAATCACATCGATCGACTCATTCGATGCCGAACGAAGAGACTGACTGTTATGGGAGAAGAAGAGGAAGAAAGGGAGGATGGCTCGCCCGAGCTTCCCGTTCCCGTTGAGGGCGAGCCAGGTCTGCCGGACGCGGAAGCCGGATGCAAGGAGCAGGGACGAGTCCGCCTCGCAGCACGCATCCAGAATGTACATCGCGCCTTCCACCACCTGCACCCAACAACGCGAGGGACTCTTTCACAGGGTCTCACACTCATACGAGAAAGTACGATATTCCGAAGCCAAGCTTTTCCAAACATTCTCGCCCATTTACAAGCTTCCCAATAAAATTTCCCCATCAACTGAATTGGTTTTCCTGTCATACCGTTTCCTTACCTTCGATAAGCTCTATGTTCATGCGATAACGAGCCTGATGAACTGGACAAGAGTTATGTCTTCGAGAATCTAAAAATTAAGGAGGAAGTTCTTGGAAGGACGGAAAAATGCGTTGCGCCGATTTTAAGGGGATGAACAAATGCATTGGTTGAATGAAGAAACTTTAACCTTATTTCGTCAGAATTTAGTTTCTTTTATTATATTTTTTCTAATCTCTTTATCTGACCCCTTCCCAATTCTACCTGTTGCAATTAATTTTCGTAAATCTTTCCAAATTTGACAAACACGCAAAACTACAATAAAATGACCAAGTATTGGTAGTTTGATGCAAAATATCCGTCTTTTTGAAAATGCAAATGAAAAATGAATGTTTTCGTCAACGAATTTCATGCCCTCGTAATGCCCAAGCACAATTTATTCAAAGTCTGTCATCCTGGAGATAGTTGTCAGGTAATTTGCGTTTGGTTTCTTTTTGTAGTAACTATAATCAAGGGTACCAAGTATGATCAAGTAAGTTATCACTATTATATGATTATTTATCTCGGTAATGATCTCGCTAATTTGCTGGCAAATAATTGAAGTGACTGCTCCCTTCATTAAAAAGGAAAATCGATGGATCACAAATGTGACCCGCAGGCATTATGAGGATATGTCGTGCAGTAAACGATTATGCCCTCAAATGTGGCGATCGATAAACCGTTCCACAGTATCCGTATTTGCGTGTAGAAGCAAGATCGTCTTTCATCGACCCCTTCTCGCCGTTGCAATATTTACCTTTCCTTTTCGACCTAACAGTCGGCCAGTAACGTCAGAAACGTTTGCGACTCATTTTACATTTTACTTGAGAACAAGATTAACTGCAAACAAATGCGATCAACAACACGATTGCACCGAGTCAATACTTTGATTCTGCCCTATATGCTCAAGATCAGCGGCATCTACGTTCTTCACGCCAATACACGTACTTTCAGACACCTAAGTGAGAATGGTCCTGCACGGGTTGCAGATTTGTAGAATGGCTTACGGAGGATGCAGATGATTTTCCAGGGAGCATCCCACAGCACTCCAGCGCTGCTGTTGCAAATTGAGCCAAAGCCTTCAGGACTTTACCCTCTTGTTCCGGAGTGAGGAAATCCTTGCATCGGAGCAGCTTGTGCGGCCACGTCCAGTGTGACGGGATATCCATTTCCTGCTTTTTGCAGGCTTTCAGAACAGAATCAGAGGATGGGTGAAATATAAAGACGATCCCATTCGTCGATCGCATTCCCTCGACTCACCCTCTGACAATGCCTCGAGGAAATTTTTCAGGTCGGTTCGTCCAGCCTGACGGGGGATCAGACTCAAAACCTTCGCAAATCCACCAAGGGATTTCCCAACAGTTGCATCTCCAACCGCAGATAAGGCACATTCAACTTGTTTGGCACTTGCCATTTCCTCTTCAGATTAAATTAGAGGTAAAGAGAAAACAGTCTCAATCATCCGAGTATCTGAATGTTAATTTTCATGACAAATTTGTGACTTACTGCCCATCATTGCGAAATTACCTATTCTTAAAATTAAAAACCTAGGTCACTCAATGCATGCAACAGGCGTGCATGGGTTGAGAACAGTGTAGCTGGAAAACCTCTACACAAGTCATACGAGGCTGCATTGACTGCACAACAGCCTGCCAGTTCTTGGACTAGCAACAGCTCCACATCTCAATTCAGATAATCCCACTCATCCTTACTAATAGTTAATTCAATTGGTTAAAAAAACTATCTGAAGGGATTCATGAATATTAAAATAATTTTAGCATAAAAGCTGTGATCATAAGTATTCGCTCTCATTTCACAGCATCTCATTCTGCCTGTCATTCAATGACTACATATGACTTGTTTGAGTATGCCAGACTGCAATTAGCATGTGCTTCCTCATGATAAGAAATAATATGAAGAAATAATCAACTTAGAAAATGGCTTTTATTCTGTGCATTTCATGCACTCAATCCAATTTTGTGTTGGCACACAAAGTTATATCTAATCCATATGCCTTTCAGGGCAATAGGGGAGTTGACACTGGTCCTGGAGTTAGGAAATGAAGATTCCAACATGACCAAAAGTCAGCACAAGTCAACATCACAGTGACCTCAAGGTTTCCATGATATGCAAACCCGATCAGTAGATTCACCAGCATCATCCACATGCACTTTCTTCTATTCGATGCAAGAAGTGGATTCCATACAAAAAAAAGTAGATGATTCTCCTACTTAGCAACAGAAAGGTAGAATGACAAAACTGCATACAGTCACCTCACCACAGAAATTGGTCAACAGAATCACAACATAATCCTTTGAGAAAAATGGAATTCAAAGTAGAAAAACCCCTACTTTCCTGCTTTTTCCCCCCAGTTACAAGTATCAGATGACTATGGGTAGGAAAGAAAAAGAAATCCTTTGCACGTTATTCGGTCTGCGGGAACTGCGCAGCCAGGCGTCCTCGACCTGTAACATGCAAGGCAGTGCCCCCATCAACATCTGAAGACATGGAAGTGAGAGGGTGGGGGGAGGGGGGACAAAACTTTTAAACAGTGAAAGATAAACTTACTCCTACGACGAGATTCAGGTTCAGGAAGACTGTCTTCAGAGGCTTCAGGTTGGGACACCTCATTCTGCATTGAAGTAAGAGTGCCTTGTGGCATTGGGAGTTCTGATGGAGATGGGGGTCGCTGGTAGGTCAAAACAGCTTTTGGGCTTCCAGTTTGTGTCCTTGATTCAATCATCCAGTGAGGAGGGACCTTTGGAGGGATCTATTACAAAAAGTCACCAAAAAGGGGGAAATTTGAATGAAATATTAGGTTTCTAGTTCCAGAGAGTGCAATCAATGGCATTCTGAAACTGAAATTCATAGAATATTTGGAACTCACAACAAACTTGGATGGAGAGGACAATTCACTTCCTCCTGACTCCTTTCCAGTGCCACCCTGTAAAAAGAGAATACAGATGTGCTGATGCCAGTCCTGTATTAATACCTACAATACTGCATCTTTACAAGTGGCTGAGGAACTCACATCACAAGCATTCTCATCCTTCATGACTTGCATTAACAATGGCAGCAAACTTTCTTCATGAGGGGTAACAGAATCTGAAACAAATAAATTTTCAGGACTTTATGCCTAATGAGAATTTCCCTGACTTGGATACCAATGATTGAACTGAACTAACCTATTCTACCATCATGACTAGAAGGAAAAGATGGAGGACCTGAAAAATATATATATCACCATAAGAATATCTAACTTCACAAAAGTAGTTTAAGTCAACTTCAGTGCAATTCAATGAAAATTGGAATATGTAAAGCAGAATTCATTCCCTTGTCAGCCACAATTCTGTTAGGAAGTCACCTAATGAAATTTTCCATTACTGAAATTTCTGGAGGATAGCAACCTCTATTAGTAATAGCCTAGCCCATGTTCCACACAATGAAGACATAACCAATGATTGGAATTGTTGTCCCTTCTAATCTTAAGAATCTTTTGAACAGCAGCTGTATAAAGAGTGTCTTAACTCCAAGACTGCAACCACAACCAGAATGAAAATACTAAGGATCTAAAATGTGTCAGTTCAAGAGAGTGGCTCAGTGAGTGGAAGTTAATAGCAAATGTTACTGTCAAGGTACATGAACTATATTCAAAATCAACCAAGTCAGGTATTTCTTCTCTAGTGTAAACCTTGGAGTGCATGGGAAGGGGGACCCATGCATGAGGTGATTCTGTCTATATATGTGATGTTGAAAGCTGAGCTCAGGTAGAGTATCTCCAAAATTCAGTCTCCCTAAAGATCTGGCTTTACAGGGGAAGGATTTGGGGTGGGGCAAAGAGGGGGGAGTGAGTTAAAGTACCCAGGTGCATAGCATAACATGGTAGGGACTAAGAGAGGGGAGGGGGGGGTTTCTAGGATCAAGGATGCATCCATGAACTTGGAGCCTCCTGCACCTGGTAGCCAAATGTGTATCCCTCCAACTCCCTCCATAAAGGTACTGGACAAAAATATTGAGGGAAATGCAATGATGCTGTGTGAAACTCACTCATTGAAGGTTGACTGTAGGAATCCTTCCTGGAAGATACTTGAAGAGGGGAGCCTGAGGAGAAGAAAACCAAATATTTTCAAGTAATAAGAAATCTATTTTGAATAAACACAGGCACAGACTACAGTCTCAATGTCCATACCAGCATTTTCCCGGTTGATGTAGAGAGTGGATTTGGTTCCTCGCCCCCGCATGAAGACAATATCTGGAATTGCATGAACAAGGCAAGAGATACTGGGGTGGCCATACTGTGCAGGTCGACATGGTACACCAAATCGTTCCAGATATGCACTCTCGAAGGCATGGAGAGGCATTCGACCTCCTATCTCCTGAAGGAGTATCAGGACATCTCGAGCAAAGCACTGCAATGGAACCAAGCTGATGGTGCCTGTTTTGTCATCTCCTTCAACCTACACAAAACAGAAAAAAATGCTCAACACATTCACTGGCATATCAAACACACAAGGACACCCAGGGACTGCATACTTCAACAACATCTTCAAGGTTCTGACGAACCAGTTCCATGGAACAAGGTCTCTTGTAACGAGCCAGGTAAGCTTCCATGAATTCAGGAATACTCATTCTTCCCTCCAACGTCTGCATGAGAAGACGTCTTACTCTCAATGACAAGAGATGAATGGGACCCTGGTCAACCCGGATCAACAATGGACCTGCTCGGGTCTCCACCACCTTTTCATTAGAACAATGAAAATGATCACTATAAATCAAGATGTGAATACCGACTTAAAAATGAGCATGAAACTTGCCTTTACAGCATGACGGATCTTGGCAAGGAGGTCATCCAAGCTCTCTGCTCCAAAAAGCTGGGGATCAAGGGAATATCCATAGGCTTCCAAAAACAGATCAGGTAAATCTGCAAGCAGGATGGCTTTCTTGGCAGAATTCTGGACCAAACGTAGCACTTGATCACTGACAACACGTAGTCGTTCCTTCTTGGTTAGCTGGATCATCTTCTCCATGTCACAATTCTCATACACCTGCCAGTTTTGAATTGATGTTCAACTTATGCAAGTAGAATCAAACCCTTTTGAAGAGCAACTTTTAAGAAAAATCTGCACCTCAATGACATCAGGTAGAGCTTCAAACAGTTCTTGAAGTTTGGAAAATCCATAATCAGCTACACGACACTGTCTCCCAAAGTGGCAGTGGTATGCAGGAATGAACTTCAGGAAAGCTAGCTGATACCGGGGTAGATACCTCAGGAGTTCTACCGCCTTTCAATAATAAAGAAAATAACAGACATTGAAAACTAATAAGAATTTGAATAGTGAAAGATGCTAGTAGTTGATCAGAGAGAACTTACCTCAACAGCAAACTGCTGCATTCTTTCTAATTCTTCTGGTGTCTGTTCCCTCTTTGGTATTGAAAGAATCAAATCTTCACCAACATGCTGCATCTGGAGAAAAAACTCCAATGATGGATCTAGGTCTAATATTTTAGCAAAGATGGATGGATAGGAAAGACTCACAATAAGTAAATTATCTGAGAGGTTTGGCAGAGCATCCTCCAGCTCACATAGCCCATACTCCAAGATATCCAAGGGCTTTCCATGAACCTTCTCAAAGATATTAGGGAGGATAGATATGCTGGCTTCTTTGGAAGGTTGAGATCGAAGGACTTTCAGAATATCAGCTGTGAAGCGCTTCATTTGGGCTTGATGTGACAAGGTAACAATTCTACGGGTTCCCTCTCCGAGCACCTGTTGGTGGCACGAATTCTGCTTAATAAGAATGCACAAAAGCCATAACATACATCAGAATTTGTATAAGAGTTGTAATACCAACCAGAACCACATTTGGAATGGCTTCAAACAATTCCATGAGCTTGGTGAACCCATAATCAGCAACTCGACACTGACGTCCAAAATGATGATGATATGCAGGAATGAACTTTGAGAACTGCAGCTGACAGCGAGGGAATGTTTTTAACAGATCCATCACTTCCCTGCTGAATAGGGATAACTGTCCAAGCAGGGGTTCATTGCTTTCCTCTCCCCCATCATCTACATGGGACAATGTCAGTCAAAATTCAATATTCCATCAGGATGAAAAGAGTAAATATTCTTACCTTCAGGGATGGGAGAGCGGTTTTCCATCCACTGAACTTGTTTGTAAGAAGATGGTGACTTCTGTACTACCTGAACTCCTGGAATACATGTGATTAGTTGCTCTAATGGAATGCCCAACTCATCCTCTTCCAGTGCTTCAAATTCTGCCTTGTAACAGTGAGCCAGGCTGTTGGGAATGCAAAGCAGAAAGAATTCCATAAGACAGGATTCTTGAAAATCCTGTCAGAAGAGGAAAAGACTAAGGGTGGACAAGAAAGCAATGTTTCCATGGGTCTTGTGCATGAGTGCAGCAGCTCCATTTAGGATAAACATGTTTAAAGGTCAGAGGAAACTATGTAATGACTCAATCTTGCTCAATTAGTTTGAAAACTTCATGGTATTGAAGGAATATAAAACCAATGCATTTAAGAATCAATACCTCCCTGCTCCTTCCTAGTCTGGCAGAGTTATGTAGTTGCACAAATCCTATAAAACCCACCTGGCCAAAGGAAGTTTCCCATTGTGAGTCTGTAGAAGTGAATGGATGCGAGGTGCAAGTGTCTTCAGACCTACTCGAACAGATGGAGGAGTACAGATGGACTCCTGTTCAGCCCAACCTTTCAACTTCCCATCATGAGCCAATTGAGTGTGGTGATGGCGACGACAATATGGGCTTTCCTCCTCTCCCTCAGTTTTTTCCTCCTGCATGAATCATACAGATCAGATGGTAAGGAAGTCACCTTATCACTCTCAAACTCGTGATTATGGTTTGAGATTACCATGACATCTACAGAAGTGTAGAGGTATGGAGGATTCAAGCAAACCATTCGACCATTTCCATCTTCCACAATGGAAATTAGATCCCGATGACGGGAGAGCTCAGCCATGCTGATGGTATGATTATAGCGCCGTTCATATAACTCATTGAAGCGAAAAAGCTGAAGCTGCCCTCCAGGTACTTCTGACAGTAGGGACTGGATTGCCCACCTACAACAGGACCAGCATTATACCCTGAATTTAACCACAGCTGAACTGCTTATAAGATCAGGCAATTTGCCAGCTTACCGAATGGCTGAGGGGGAGGTTGAAGAGCCTCGCTTATGCATGAATGAGATTTGGAGCTTCTTTGAACCAACACGAATTCGCTGCAGCTGGGAGATTGCATATTGGGCTTCACTCATGGAACCCAGCCCAACAATTGCTGACCAATTCCCATCAATTCCCCCCTGCAAAGCTAGATTCTGAACCTTCAAATAGGAGGTTAGTTACATGATAAGTTGCTTCAAAGAAAAATTGGTCATAGAACTCAGCAATATCGCTATTTGCTCACAGTAACATGTTCCTCAAAAAGTGAGTAAACAAGACGTTTCAATTCTTGAGGAGAGAGGTGGGGATCAAAATTGGTCACCAGAAGTTCAACACCATTTTGGTCTCCATCTCCACTGCTATGGTGCCTTCCCTTCCTTGGAGACCCACAGAAACTGGAACCCCCACTTTCTCTTCTTGTATGCTGTTTTACAAGGGGAAAAGAGCGAAATAGTATACAGTGCAGCTATAATTGTAGTATGTACACAAAGCACATCCCAAAAAACATATAAACTCACATGAGTTGGAGTGAGGGATAATGGACTGTTAGAACAGACAGAATTCCACCTTCCACTATCACCGATATCCCCATTCCTGGAACTGCGAAACACACGTATTGCTAAATCACTGTGCCATGTACCATATATTCAAACAAGGCATTCATGAAGGGCATACCTCCCAATCCCTATATTAGAAGAGCCACTGATTGTCTGGTTGAGGAAGACTCGTGTGGAAGATGAAGACTTTCCATCGTCATTCCAAGTTGGCCTCCATTCCGAAATTGTTTCTGGACTACGGAGATACGAGTTCTCAAACAATCTTGCTCTGGGGGTCTCTTGCACAGAGAGATTAGCCCTGGAGTAATCTGTCACAGTAAAAAAAAAATTGGGGGTTAGTCTTTTTCCCACATGGTATCAGCCTAACCACATTATGTATTTCTTGTCACCTGGAGTGCTTCCAAATCCGTGGAAGGATTCATTGAGCCTGGGGTTCGCAGGGTGAGATGGAGATGGACGCCACTGCTTCATTCCCAACTGATCCACCCATTCGCCATGCCAACCTTTAGTCACAACAATGTTTCCAATCCAGCCACAGTTTCCTATTATTTTCCGAAAGTTAGATGGTTATACCATTGCTGTTGGGACTAGAGGTGAACTGCCAGAATCTTTGACTCTCGCTCAAGTTCCCGGGAGGATATCTCTTTGGAAGGATTCGTCCCGGCCCCGGAGTACTCTGGATTCGACTTCTTGAAAACACTGCACGACAGAAGGTTCGTAAAATTCGACGGTCTTCTTCTTTGGCTATGATCTACTTTCGAATATTTTCCTGGAAACGCGCCAAAGAATTTCATCTACTTTTGTCTAAGACGGACGACATTGCCATTCCAAAGAGTCTTTACATGGAACAGAAATATACTGCTAAACTACGCAAAAAAATGTTTGTCTAGCTTAGGAAGAAAGAATCCGCTGACCATTGTTCTGTGAAGGAGAGGAGAAGGCAGAATCATTGAAGGAAGCGGAGTAACCGGGAGATGCGGAGGCGGGCACATTTTTTGCGAAGTTCACAGTGATCTTGTGACCGTAAACATCCTCCCCGTTCATGCGCTTCTGGGCCCTAACAACAAAAAAGACTACATTTACGTCTCCATTGCCTCGTTTGTACTAGTATCCCCCTTTCATAGTCGTTGAATCCAAAATAGAGGATAAATCAGAAGATACCGTTAAGGAGCCACTGAGAACGCCATATCTTGTCTGCCTAGCAGACGGGAAAATCCGACGGAAAAAAATAATTTGTTGAGGACAAAGATCGCTTGGCAAAAATGAAAATTACGAAAGAATACGACTTCATGAATGAATCAAGTGACGCAATGGCAGTGCAAAAAGAAGTGGCTTAAGACACGGTCTTCGACCTGTTTCCCGAGGGTCATTCAGTTGAGAGGGGAAGGGCCGGTCTCTTTCCCATCCTTGGATGATCAGAGATGGAAGTCGAAGATGCAATGAAAGAGACTTACCGCCAAGAAAACTTCACATCAGCCCGGGAGTACATTAATCATAGGAGAGAGAAACGAGCGAGGAAGACAGTTGAGAAATGACTGAGAGACGTCTGGGACTTGGCCCGTGGGCCGGAAAGGGGAGCAAGAGCACTGAATATACCATAGACGCCATAGACACGGAAAGAATGAGCAAGTTTTCTTTGCGTCTCGCCCCGGGGCGAGAACAAGGGAGGAACGGCGACCAAAGATGGGGGGAAAAAAAACCTAGATATGTGAGGCCACTTCCACCCACCCTCCCTCCCTCCCTCTTTTCAGGGTTACGTTCTCTCCGTCAATGGGTGCCTTCCAGAAGCTAAAATGATCCGATTTCATAGCGAGCTCTTAGAGGAATCGGATTTAGCGAAGAAATATCATTCCAATTCACTTCCCATAAACCAAATCAAATGTATCTGGCGTAAGCCACCGACTCTGTCAGCCACCCAACCGGTTCCGTAGCTCGTACACGGAAAAAGAAACGCACGCGCAATTGATTGAAGAGGAATCCGAAATACCGACGCCAATATAAAAAAAAATACAAATAAACATTCATACCCGAGGTTCTAAATCAAGTTTTCATTTACAGGAACAATATGAGCAATCCAGGCTTTTAAATAAAACTGAATCCGTAAATCTTTAGGTCCGAATGTTGAAACCCGCTTTACTTAACGGTCCTTCAAGAATACATGGATTCCTCTGGGGCGGGGGAAGAACTCTTTAGATTAAAGGCCCCTTTATCTCCCTAAATTAATTTTTGCATCCGGGCCTTATTCTCTGCGCAATAGTGAAAATCTATAGCTGCAGATTTTGCTGAACAACAGAAAATTACATTTTTCATAAACCTGAACGTATCCAAGCAAACTCTCAGGAACAACACTGGGAATATTTGGAAGACATGATTAAAGTGTAGAGACAGTATAACAGAGACAAAGGCATAAAGGGTGACATACACACCACATCGGTTTAGGAGCTAAACTGATTCGGGACATGCACTAAATGCAATTAGTTTAAATGTCTCTTAACCCTTTCAATGCTGAGTTTTTGTAGCTCTATTGGGTAACTCGAAGGGTATACTCGTCCGTAGCACGGAAAGGGTTAACCTAATCTCCAAATATAAACCTACTCCATAGCGGGTTTATCTCCCCAAACGGATTCTCAGAGGTTGTTCAGCATCATGTTTTGCCGAAGTTGTCTTCAGTTTTCTTCCCCCTCATCTAGCGACGGTGAAAATGGAAACCAATGAAGAGATAGAAGTTTTAGACATGATTCTGAACCAAACTGCCAGGAGGACTGTCGGGGAGAACACAATCCTCTTGAACGGTACATTTCCAACTTTTCTTTTACACTTAACATTTCCCTTTCACTGGAAAGAGAATTAACTTGAACTATCGTCTGGAGACGCTGCATATAATCTGAACGTTTCCATTCTCCAAGAGACAGGATTAGGCCAGATTAGGCAACACTATACGCCCACCTCTACTCTCTGGAGGTCCATTCTAGCGCTAAGTTACCCCTCACCATCTTGCTATATATCATGGGATCGAGAGGAGCTGCAGGCAGCATTACATTTTGTACACGGTAAAATGATTGTGAACAGTACAGTAAGCTGCTTGGCGCAATATCGAGTAAGACTTACGCAGCATAAGGCACGTTTGTGCAATTCAAAGAGTTGGCGGATGGCGGCTTGTGAGGGTGGCGCTATAAAGAGGGAGCGCCTATGGTACGCCTATGCGTTCTCAGGAAAGTTGCGATAAGCGAGAGTGGCGGTATATCGAGGGTTGACAACTCATTTTCCTCCTCGCCTGGCGCCTCTCCCCCCCAATGCGAGTGCGGGAAGTAATGCAAGATTCATCCTTCTAATGAAGAATTAATAAAGCAGGTTCACTGAAAGAGACAGCGCCACAGAGTATTTAAATTAAAAAAACGGACGGGAGGAAAGAGGAAACACCTCACCTCTTCTTTTTCTATAGCAGATATTGGAAAAGTCAAGCATAAAGAAGTCCAGACATAAAGAGAAGAAAATTGGGCTGTGCCAACAATGGAGCTCTTGCTTGCGCATCGGCAAGGGAAGATAGAGAGAAACTTCGGATAACATGAACCGAGGTTAAGTTGTTTCCTCGGCCTCTCACCCCTCCCCCACCCAAAAAAAATATCGCAGAAAAACTTATATTGCGAGATTCTGTGAAGACCATCATCATCCAAGGACTGCCCAACTCGCCTATTACCAAACCCCCAATCGCAGCGATTCTCAACATGTGTGTCGCATCACCTTGGGGAGTTCCGCAAGAAGCTGATAGCTCCGTGAATATTGAGCTTTTGTTTTCATTTTGATTTATGTGTTGCCTATCACCTAAGGCGGGAAAAAAAGACCAGGAGGCTATAATCCTATTTCCAATTCTACAATCCAATATTTTAAAGAGACCTTGCATAAGGTTGCTTGAAATATTGAGCAGTATCTTTCATTTTCTGTACAACCAGAGGCAAGTACAGATATAACATTGAAGCATAATTAGCAAAAAATGAAATTTGAATCCATCCTCTTGAAATTATTTCCTATCTATGAGACAGTTCGAAATGAACCTTTCGTGAAAGATGAATTAACACGTTGACTGCCACGGCCATATTGGCCTGGTGACATTCCTGGGCCAAAGTAATTTTCATACCCCTTGGAGAAGGTGAAGCAAGGGGTGCACCGGTGCGCCCCTTGGCGGTCAACCTGTTAAGAGGTCCTGGTTTTTCCAATATTTAGTTATGCCTATATTGTTCTGCATGGAGGTCAGTGAATTTGCAGGGGTGCTGCCAATACCTCACCATCTGAAAAGTGTGCCAATACGAAGACAAGTTTGAGAACCGCTACCCTATAGCAACCAGACATCAATTGAAACTATCTTGACCCAAATATCAGTCTCAGCTCCTACAGGCAAGGTCTCGTTCCATCCCCCTTTTCTTCCTTTCAATCCCAACAGTAGTACTGCTAAGATGCATTTTCCTGTTTAGATGTTCCTTCTTGAGTCATTGAAATATTGGCTATATGCAAGCTCTTTTCTCAGTCAAAATCCTGTTTCTTTATTATCCTCCAAATTTGACTCAATGGATTAGATTTTAAAGAATCCACCTCAGAAGTGATGAAGTCCTTTGATAATAGACCTTGGATTGTACTAGGTACTCCAAAAAAAATTAGGGATTTCCATGCCATAACTTCAGATCTCTGGAAGAACTGAAGCTTCAGTATTCAGTGCAACTGCAACAAGTGTTTTCTTTAGTATGAAAACTTTAATCCATATTTTGAAATTTAGCATAGTCGGATTGGAAGTTAGTTTAACAGATTTCAACTTAAACCAGATAATACATGGGAAAGTGGAAAACCTTTAGTCAAAATAGAAAAGTGCACCTTCATGGGATCGCTGCCAAAGTTGGGCGCTACTGTACCTTCTCATTGTGCAAAGCATATGGAGTTTATGCAACTCAGAGCACCTGGTGAGTAGAAATGAAAATACTAACCAACTGAACAATATCGACCCTTTCAGAACTGACTGCACAATTTCACTGGAGATGTGGCTTTTTGAAGGAGGGGATTCAGATGCAGCCTGCAGAGAGGTGTCACTCCCAAACATAAAGATATGGCTTTTTTTGACAACATAAAACTATTATTAGAAAGGAGGTCCTCTTTGGATACGGTACAGTCCAAAACTCCTCAAATGGAAAAATAATCACTTCTTCAAGCCTCAGTTACTCCTGAGGTTAGGATCTAGTTTTGTTCTGAACCCTATTGTGGCTTTGAGTCTCTGACCCCAAGACTGTGAGGAAACCTTCCTCATCTGAGTCACAACTCTACACACCTGCTTTCTTACCTTTCTGCAATGTCTGGTGATGAGAATTTCAATAATGCAGTTCCATCATTGACATGCAAAACTTTTCCACCACAGTTCAGGGACAGATGCTTGAGTCGATTCTTGATCACGACGGAAGTCCTATTCTCAGGTAGATTGGACACTTCTAAGACACTCAACTGAGCTGTGCTTGGCTACCAGACAAAAGGAAGGCTTGTCAGCTTAACTAAGCAAGTAATTTCAAGGAAGCATAACATGAGGTGTTCAGAGAAAGATGCTCTTTGGGCAACTTGCCTTTACTCTTGAACTCTGTGAAAATCATTAGAGGATATTGTCAAATGATCAGTTAGAGACTGATTGTTTTGTCCCATTCTTATTTCAGATTTAAATATACATGGTGTCCCAAAGGGTATTGAAACATTTAAAAAATTAATATCTCACTAAATTATGCTTCAAATAAAATTATGAAAACAGTAAAATGAAGTGTAACTAAAACATTTTTCAACCTGTTATTGCAATTCCACTTGGGCACTATTCGTGGCTCGGTAGAGGTCTAAACAATGTCCAAGCTCTTACCACAACTTATGCAGAGTGTCATGTATAACTGTCTGGATAGCTGCATCAATTCTGTTCTTCAGATCAGATTGAAGATTGCTTACTCAAGAAAAGTTGACAATATCCTTGACATAGCCCTATAATAGTAAAAAAAATCCAAGAGGGATGAGTTCAGGCACAATAAAAGTCTACTTTTCAAAGATGTTGCAACTCCACATTTTAGCAAGCTAGGCATGGAAAAGAAAACAGATCTGTGGATTGGACAAAGCAGGTTCATTCCATGGCCACCAAGATCATCTGAACGATCCCTACAGGACTTTTTCATGTCGGCTATGTCAAGGACATTGCTTACTGGAGAAAAGTAGACAATCGATCAGGATCCAAAGAACAGGATCGTCCGAGCTATCCTGATAGTAATGCCTAACACTCTGCAAAAGGTGTGGTAAGAGCTCGAACATCTCTCAGAGATCTACAGAATCACAAATGGTGCCCATGTGAAATTGCAATAGCAGGTTGAAAAATGTGTGAGTTGCACTTCATTTTACTGCCTTAATCATTTTATTTGAGGCGTAATTTAAAGAGAAGTTAATTTTTTAATTGTTTTCATACAAATTTGGAATACCCTGTATTTTTGCCGAGTTAAAATGAAACAAAAAGAGCAAGAATTTCCTTTGATTAATCTTTTTTAGATAATCTTAACGGAATTTTAGTTTTCTGTATCTGCTTCGTTATTATAACAATAAATTTCATGGAAAATGTCTCCCCAAAAAAGTATGACCCAAAATTAAATATCTCTAAGGAGAGTTCTTATTTAAATATACATCTGGACTAGTACCTTTGTGCCTAAGTTTAAGATTTTGTGTCTCCGTTTCTTAATAGCGAAAATTTTTAGGAATTAACTTGAATAAAACGAGGTCCCTTTGAGGATATAACTGAAAATTTCCTAAAATCAGTACCTCAAGAATTGCATGATTAACATTGTGTAGTTCACAAACATTTCTTGCCGGTGAAGCAAGTACGCCGGTTGAGTTGGTCATGTACCCAACTATAAGATTTAAATGCCTCTGTCCCTAAAAATATATACATTTTATCATTTTGGTTCAATGAGAAAGCCAAAGATAACGAACATTATCATTAGGACGTTTCAAGCCTGATTTTACCTGTGCTGGCAGACTCTAGTCAACAAGCGGTCAATCTGAATTCGAACGAGATTGTAGAACTGACGGAAGAGATATTCATGCCCATCATGCTACCAATGGAATATGGACACCTCAGCGTACACGGTTAGTTTCGGCCACAGAAGGGTCTATCGACAATCCATCCCTGCTGGCGCGTCCCAGGTCTCACCGTCTCTTCTTTGCCTTTCAGATAATCCGATCGAGTGCGGTTGCAGCATGGCCTGGGTGGTACTCGGCTCGTTCTTCTTGAATCGAATCGGCGGAGAGTGCAAGGACGGGATGGCCTTCCAGGACCTGGATCCGGAAATCTTTCAGGATCTCTGCGTGGAGAGGGATCCTCCCGAAGAAGGAGATTATTCCACGTGGATCGCTTCTCGTCCGATCGGAAGCGTTTCGACGCGACGGAAGATTGAGGCTGGATCCCAGAAGAGGTTATCCTCTTGAGTCCTGTATCCATATTGATGAACACGGATATAATATCTAATGTCCGATATTCATTCAAGAGAGAGGAATATCTTGTGGTCAATAAATTTTGGCTTACGAAAGGAAAGAAACGAACGACTAGCCCTGAGTTGCAAGTAACTAATCCATACTGTGGAACCCATGGAGAAATCACGAAGAAAACCAACAAGGTGTGGAACTTCGATAGCGCGAAGTTCCTAAGAGATAAAGAATCTCATGAGTTCCTCTGATGAACGAAATTCTTAGTAGGGTGAACTTTGGTCTCGTGGGATAGCACCTCAATATTTAAATTTTACATGAGTGTTATCTGCAAATATTTCATCTCATGCGTCCTTTAATTTAAGAATCACGTAGTTAGACTACATGTCTGCTAATTGGAATAATCAAATTTTATGTCCATACTCTCAGCGTGAATAACCGAATTCCTTGCAGTTTTTGCAGTGCCACATTGGCCAAATTCAGACAGAGCCAACTTTTAATTGGCTAGGGGTCATTGTAGCGTTCCCTTCAACGGGCCATGAAATCCAATTGCACAGCAGGGACGAACCTGCTGAAAATTTTCACCTTTGCCTCACTGATATGGTTTTCTGGAATCAATTTAAAATATGAATATTTATCACATATCTCTCATGGAGATCTAGAAGTTATGTCATTGAAGGCCCAAACCACTCGTTTCAGTTTTCTATGAAGTTTTTTTTAAATTTTCCTTCGACATGGTTCTTCCTCCTCCAAAGGTTCTCTTTTACTGTGTAATACTTTCCATACATTGGATTTTTTTTCGTGAATAGCTGATATTCCACTTGGATGCAAGTTTCCCCTTGGAAAATGTAATTGAAGTTGGAATTCGATTGAATACAGAATGCAATGGAAAAAAATAGAGCCATTGATAGCTGAGATTTTAGGTGGACAAGTTAATGACTTTAAGAAATTGTTTCCTAATCCTGTTGGAGCTTTTCGCTACACTTAACTAAAAAACTTGCAGGAAACCTGCAACTGCCATTATGGGGACGAAATGAACGGCATCCGATTGAATTCTACTCGTATCGACTAGTACCCATTCAAATGAACCGGTGTAGGAAGCTATCGTTCATTGCAAAATGAGCTGCGATGAGCCTGTGTAATCGTCGACTTCAGGGAACGGTTGAGGCTCACCTTACTCAGAGGGATGACGACCTCTTTTTTCTCCTCGGAGATAGCTATAATTGGAGTACGCAGGAGATGATACAATGAGATACCGCTGGAGTTCTTTCTAAAGGCATTCAACTATAAAAATGAGAGATTTAGTGAAAAAACTGTACTTACGGGCATGCGTGACTTTTGCACAAGTAAGGAATTGCTCCAACTTGAGTGTTTTCAAGATTTATACACGAATCATTTTGGAATCACGCTTGAAACTATCGTACATATTTGAAATGATGAAGAAATGAAAATGTTACGCATTGGACTAAGGTTTTAAATTTAAAGGTGGATGGATTTGGCATTGGATTCGTTCGGCCGATAGTTCGTTTAACTGTTTCAGTGTCGTCTGGCAAAGCGTCTCGGGAGTCTCCCCTCACTTCCAGGCAACAGCACTCTAACCATTCCTCCAAATCCTGGTGACCTCCACTCGGAGGATGTTTTAGTGAAGAGATTAAACCTTGCTCGTGTCGAAATCCTGTCTACCGTATTGTTCCATGTTCACATGAGGCTTGGCGCGAACCCACTCGAGCCTCCACTCATCTCCACGTACCCCTCAACAGCGCCATAACGCCTACCACGTGACATCATGTTCCCAGCTGGAGCCACCTGGGAGTTCACGTGCAAACCCGCAGCACATGATTCCCATATCCTGGCAGCCAATGAGAGCTATCCCGCTCCGAAGCGATGCAACGGAACTCATACCAGGCAATGACGCCTTTCGAAAGCATCCCAAACACTTTCCCTGAATCTAAGTTCAACTCTGTTCAATATATACATGTGGGGATCATTAAGCTCTTCGCATGAGAGAGTACATGAAGCGAGATCGAAAGTTACGCTCTAACGTTAAATTCATTGTTTTCTGAGTACATCATAGCTTTGGCATAACCGGCTCTATTTTTACATGATAGACCTATTAATTGCCCCACCCTAAATGTACTGAAATCAATGTTTCAATAATAAATCAAATTAAATTTATTTAAAATTGATTCATGAGCAGATGTGCACAGAATCAGACGTACCCAAAAAATCTGGAATCCACCATTCCAATTGGGTGACATTTTCGAAAAGAGCGCTAGCTGCACCCAAAACCCCCCAAAAGGTCGATGATGCCGACGATCCGTTCCACGCTGTTCGCGCTCTCTGAATGTTTCCGGCGACTCAACAGATGCGTGATTGTCTTCCCTGGCTGGTCCTGGAAAACCGTCTCGATTTGCTCTCGAGTGAAGTTCCTCTTGTTTCACATTCGGAATTATGGTTCTCTGCAAAGAAAAAATCACCCAATTGTGAAACAAAGTTTATTATTGTTACGGTACGACTATTTTGTGTCGTAGTCCGTTGTGGGGTCCGGGTGGAAATAAGATCACAAGGGGATACGGTGACAACAAAACAGGTGTTCTTATTTCCCTCTCACTCGTCCACTAAGATGGATTCTTCTGCCGGATCAGAGGGGACTGCAGAGTCCTGGTGTCCGGGGGTCGGCATCGCTCGGGATCTCTCCCTCGGGGGGTCCCACTCGACCGTCGCGGCTGCTTCTATGGTCTCCCCACGAACTGCGGTAGAGAGGGGGGGGATATGCGGTTGCGTCCCACGGAGGATGCCTGTTCTTTCCCGGGCTTCGGTCCAGCCCAACGTCAAGGAGGATGTCCTGACCGTACTCGGGAGGGCTTAGGTCGAGCCTGTCTTTCGGGTCACTACCGGTTGGAACCGTTCAGGGATTAGGTCGAGCCCGACTCGATGCGGGGTGCCTTACTCCACAGGGTTTACATTGAGCCTGTCTTTAGGAGAAAGGATCTCAGGGGAGTGGGGAGGGGGGGGGGGGGACTATTATTGGCTTAGGTCGAGCCTAGATTGCGAACGGCCGTGATGCGGCCGTTCATTCTTGCTGGTGATTCCTCAGCATGTCGAGTTGGAAGGCATGCCGTACTTCCTTACTTCTTAGCATGTAACTCTAAAATAACTCCATGTGACTATTACATCGGGACCAACACATATAATTTTAATCTACTACATATCCTGAATAGCAAACACCGGGGCTCACTAGTGACACCTAGTAGCGGAGGCTGTAAATGAAGCTCAGGCGTCAATCACCCCAAACGGGGTCGCACGTTCTCTATTCCCTCGCCATGACACTATTTCCTCACCTAACACGTATGTCCATTCAACTATTTGAGCAATTCCTCCATTAAGGAAAGAAATGAGACGCTGTTAATTTGGATTCAAATCAACGCATTTCGATTGACGAAATATACGTCCCCTTTTTCCTCTCTGAGAGCATCAGTTGGAAGGTATCCTTAATTACCAGATCCTGGATCCATGGTAATTAATGTGTTCATTCCTACCGGCTCCATACCGTTCCTTGCACTTCGCAAGGGTGACCGAGTCATCAGCATTTCATTCATTTCTGATATACCCGCATGCACACGAAAAAAGATAAATGAACGGAGCGGGGAAAGAAAACATCCCCGTCGCCAGTCAATTATATGCACACATCAATTGCATACGTCCACTCATTTGCATGCCTAACCCTCCCCTCCCTCAGGGCGGGACGGAGCAGACGACAGGGATGGAGGGGGCAGCCCCTGACGTCGCTGTAGCACCTTACCCCTCTCCACGTAAACAACGGTCTAACCCCCTCCGGCATATATCAACCTTTCGTGCGATACTAAGATAATTTCTACTTGCAAGGGAAAAAAGAGAGACCCTGTCCTTGATGCCGTGACCAGGATTCGAACCTGGGTTATTGCGGCCACAACGCAATGTACTAACCACTATACGATCACGGCTATCGACAGCTTCTGTCTCTCGTGCTTCGATAAAATGGTACATATCAGCTTTGCTATCCACTGTCTTGGATCCACTTTTTAAATTGTAGATTACAAAGTGGAACTTGTACTGTGTTCCCCACTCCCCATCCCCTCAAGCCCAGGGGCCCATGCATGCGCGTATTCAATTATCCGCGTCCTCATCGACGAACTGCAGCTTGTTTTGCTCGATGACATGCTGATATCCATGTTTGTGGTGATATCTTTGTAGGCGGCCCGGGAATCTGTGATCGCCGTCGTTCCAGGGTGCACCCAGACCCTTATGAGAAGGGTGAACGTCTCCCATTCCTCTCCTCCACTGGCGACGAGGAAACAGTGTTCGCTCCCCCGCTCCAAGCACGTCAAGGCCCATCGTCCTTCATCGGGATTTCCTCGGAGATACTCGGTCCTTCCCGACTTGCTCTCGTTCGCCTCCGTCGATCTCTTCCGACTTCTTCGTCATCGTGATTGACACCTGCGAAGGATGCACACTTCTTATTACACACCACTGCTACTCCATGTAGTAACAAGAAGGGGTGTCGGTAAGAAATAAAGAGGACAAACACCTCCCGGCAAAATGATGGACGGTCCACAGTCGTCATGGAATCTGTTTCTTGCAGGAATTTCTTTACTGGGATCTCTTGTATCCATAAATAGCCAATCTCCGGGATCTCCTCTAGTGTCTATCTAACATTTGGGGAGGGGGGGGAAACGAGAACTCAACGACGGAGATGAATTTCTGGCATCTTGTCTTCTTGGGTATCGTCTTCTCCTTGTAAGCTGGAGTAACCTTCGGTTTCCTCCCTTTCAACGTGAAGCCTTCATTTTAATTGGGTGCTGACTGAAGTGACGCGGGTACCTTGACCTTGAGACAGGCCCACTCCTTTACCGTACTGATTGTTTATGAGCTCCGTTTCTAAATCAGCATCTGTGAAAGCTAATAGGGTCATTCCACGCCAAATGGAGTAACGAGAAAGCTCGACGATCTCGGATTTTGACGAAAATCGCCATACACGTAGAAGAATCGATTTAAATAATAAAATTTCAACCAATTTTTTTTCTTTCCCACAGATCTCCAGATATATGCATTTCAATTTGACCTAATTTTCGTTCCCAGCGCCCATACGGACTGGAACTTCCGACTAAAATGTAAAGCTGGATTTCCCATTATGCTGTGAAAATATTTCCTGCGCTTCTTGGGAAATCCCATTTATTCTTTGGGGGGTTTTCCCTTCTTCATCAAGAAATATTATGGCCGAGGGCGACGGCTAACGGACAGAAATTCCAGATCCCAGGTTCGAGCGAACGATCCTTTTTCTCATTCGCGTCGGAAAAGCCTGCTTCGAACATTCTCGGGAAAACCTTCGCTCTCGTTCGGACCTTTCCTCGTTGAAACTTATTCACAGAGGAGTAATAAAAAAGAGATGAGAGTTTCCACTCGGATGCCGCGACCAGGATTCTCACCTGGGTCATTGCGGCCACAACGCAACGCACTAGCCTCCATACGATCGCGGCTATCGAGAGGCTCATGCAGATAATTTCCTTTAAAGAGTGACGCTTTGGCTGCCGTCTTTCGAGAATGGCGGATCTGTGTGGGAACTTTCTTCTCCACGACGTGAGAAGGATCGCGGAGACTCACGATGAGCTCCAGAGGATTAAAGACTTTTGCCACCAAGTTTCGTATGCATGAAAAAAGAACTGGAATCCTCTGATCGGATCGAACCGGCGTCTCTTCACCGTCTCCATCGCCCAAGCAACATCGAGTCGAGTCGGCATCGGCTTAATGTCGAAAAGGGAAAAGTCCCTTTATCACTGGGATATGGAAGCCGTTCGTGCAAATGCCGTTGCATCGATACAGGGTGTCTCAAAAGTCTTAATCCATAGGCGTATGATAAGGTGAAATTTTACACTTCAAAGATTCTAGTAGACTACTTGAGACTTCGTATCTGCATATGTAACGAGAGCAAGATACGAGGGACTAAGGTCTTTCAAAGACAACAGGAAAAGGGGAAATGATGAAGGGTTTCGTGAAGTTACGTCATGCCGGCTCCAGTACCACGACTGCCTGCCATCATGTTCACGACGGCATTTTTGCCTGGGACTTCTAAGCGGGTGGCGGCCTTCGCGTCCACTTTCTGGCTTCCGTGTCCATCACACTTTCCCTTCCGACGTACGGAAGATGACTTATCAGTTATCGTATTAGGAGTTTTTCTGAGGGTAGGAAGGGATACGCTCTGTCTTATCCATAACCGATACGACAATCGCGGTAGCCGTGATCGTATAGTGGTTAGTACATTGCGTTGTGGCCGCAATAACCCAGGTTCGAAT